GGATGGCTTCTGTAAATCTGGGGCTGTCCCTGGAAAATAGGGGCACTTGTGGGGTTTGCAGTAATGGTTTAATCTTTTCGCCATCAGCTCCAAGTCCACCCATCCCGTTCCCCCCCCCCCATGCTTTTAAATACTGTGATTTCATAGCAGCTATTGGTTTTAAGAAATGTAACTAACTGGAACATTTGTTTTATCTTCTCCTCCGGTGAAATGCAATGTTTGCAAATGTTTGTAACCCACCCTGTGGTCAAGAATGATAAAGATAAAAATCTACATAAATAAAAATTTTTCACCTGTGCAACACATCAGATACAGAGCAGATTCTGTCAAATTGGCTGACAGCTCATTTGTATGACTGTTATTCACCAGACATCTCACCCTTTCAGGCTTAAATAACATGCTAAAAGAAATTTTTTACAGTGAAAGCCACCAGGTCTTGAAAGATGTTTAGGCCATCACATCATAACTGAAACTACAAAGTGATATTAAAAAAAGAGTCAACTGTTTGTGAACAGCTCCAAGCCTACAACCACTTCAAAACAGACTTTAAGGACTGAGTCAAATATATTATGTGCTATACACCTCATTGGAAGTAGGGAAATAATACATTTAACATCTCCCCAGTATAGAAAAAAAATTGTGTGCATGAAAACCTGCCAGAGGAAAGGTTTTTAGGGTCAATTTAAGTTTGATGCAGGAGGACCTCTTTATCAATATCTTATATTTTTGCTCTTAAGGTCAAAACAGACATGCATGCTAAGGAGAATCAGACTAAGACGGCAATGTGAGGGGGAGGTTTAATCCAGTCCCTTGCTGCCACCACCCTTTTTCTGACTGAAACTATGCAGTCTCAGCACCAGCCCTACCAATAGGCAGAGGTGGAAGCCTCCGCTGAGGGTTCCCCAGTTGCACTATTCCCATCCTCCTGAGCTGCGGTGCCCTAGAGGCAAAAGTGCTTGTTTCTTGTTGACCTGGGCTGTTTTTCTGCAATGTATTGCCAACAGTGCCTTTAGGAAAGGCACTTGACCAGGTCAGCAGAGAGGCAAACAGCCCAAGCCATGCACTCCAGAAAGTATTGCCCATGTGTTGCTGTGCTCATGCTGGCATTGCAGCTACCGCACTGCATTATTTGAGTGGGCAGGGGGCAGGTGGAGCGGGAAGCAAATTTTGGTGAGGTGTTGAAGGACAGAGTTGTGCTCTCCTTCACTCCCTCTAAGCTAGCCTGCTGCCCTCAGGCACAGCGGAATATGATGTCTCATCATCACCTACCAATCCATTTGTGGAACAGGCAGCAAAACATTTCAGGCCACCCCTGATTATATCCCTCCTCCTCTCCCCCAACCTCCAAAAAGAAAAAAGAAAGTCTGCTAAATCCGCATGACACAAATAGCATTTTGGTGAGATAATTTAGATCAGAAAAATGGCAGAAGAAAAGGTTAAACTCCTCTCCTGTACTGAGGTCCCGATTCCTGCCCCCCACCGCTTTAACAATCAACCAACCAACCATGAGAAAACCTTTCTACAGATATCCCACATCACGTCTGGTTTGGTTCTTAGCTCAGACTTCTTCGTAATGTTTTAACTTTCTATGAGCAGAGAGAATGCTAGAATAAAATCTTTATCCATGATATGTTAGCTTTCTATTGGCAGGGAGCAGTTTCGGGTTTTTTACATTTTGAGGACACACACAAAATAAGCCTAAGGTTTTCTCTTTAAAAGCTTCTGAATGTTATATGCACAAACCTTTTATACACTACAATCAAGAGAAATGGTTTCCATTACTATACTGCAAGTCCTGCCAAGAAACCTAATCCCTAAAGCCTTGTTAACAGGAAAATAACAGCTGTACATAACTACTATACTAATGAAGAAAAAATGTTTACAATTACCATTTTCATTGACTTTTTTCAGGGTGTGTGTTTGACTTCTCTACACTTATGGTATGAACACTGTTTTTTAAAAAATAAAATGGATTTTTTGCTTTGAAATTTTAGAATTTGTACTTCAGGAGGGTTTTGATAGTTCAGTATATTACAAAAAATAGACATAAACCAAAGGAAGTTTGGTACACCTTACTCAGAAGCAGTTCCACTGAATTCAGTATTAAGCATTTTCAGATTGTACAGCAAATCCCGTTTGAATCAACAGGATTGTATGTGTCCAGATCAATTTTACTTCAATAAATTTGCAACATAGCTAATTTTCTTTGGATTTCATCCATCTTTGAAATACTCTGCCATAATTCTATGTATATCTACCCAGATGTCCACCGAGTTAATGTGTTACAGATGGAAGACAGTCTCTAAGTCTCAATTTGTTTTTAGTATTTTGTAATGGCTAAACAATAAAAAATAAATGCAATATGTAAACAACTGTAAGTACATTATAGTGCTTTTGGCTTGTGGTGTTTGTGTGTGAGAGACAGAGCGAGCGAGCGAGCAAGAGAGTGTCCTCCTAGGTGGTGTGTTAACTGCCTTCCAGTACAGTAGCTAGGCTAGTGAGAACAAGTGGTTAAGGTTTTTAAAAATGTTTTTATTAAAAGATTTTCATGTGTAACAAAAGAACATACAGAAAAAGAAGGGCTGAAACTCCCCATGAATGCCCCCCTTTTCTCTTATACTGGCAATGGCACCCACAGAAGAGGTACAGGAACTGTTTCAGTGAGTTCCCCTGGTTATAGTGTGAGACATTGTTGTAATAGGCAATACAGTGGTACCTCGGGTTAAGTACGGTACTTAATTCTGTTCTTAACCTGAAACTGTTCTTAACCTGAAGCACCACTTTAGCTAATGGGGCCTCCTGCTGCCGCTGCACAGCCAGAGCACGATTTCTGTTCTCATCCTGAAGCAAAGTTCTTAACCTGAGGGTTAGCGGAGTCTTTAACCTGAAGCGTATGTAACCTGAAGCGTATGTAACCTGAGGTACCACTGTATGGGCTTGACAGGGTGGGGTGGGGAGAGAGAGAGAGCCAGAAAATCTAAGCTTTAGGTTAGATCACCACAGCACATTATATGTGAGAATGTCTGATGACAGTTCAGAAACTTCAGCTGGCACAGAATTCAGTGGCTGGTACAGAATTCAGAAGGTGCAGAATTGCTCACGGGGGCAATACAGTTTGAGCAAATGACATCAATCATGGCCCAGCCACATTGATTCCCAGTTAATTTCTGGAGCCAGTTCAAAGTGCTGGTTTTGACCTATAAAGCCTTAAATGGCTCAGGACAGCAATACCTCGAGGACCGCTTCTCCCTATGAACCGACCTGGACTCGGAGATCATCATCTGAGGCCCTTCTTCATGTGCCTCCTCTACAAGAGGTTCAGAGGGCAACCATACAAGAATGGGCATTTTTTGCAGTGACTCCATGCTTGTGAAATGCTCTCCCCAGGGAGGACTGCCTGGTACCATCATTTGTCTTCAGGCGACAGACAAAAACTTTCAAAGTTGGCCTTTAACTATGTGTAGCCTTTAGAAGTGGGTGGGATGCTTTTAATGTATTTCTCTTTCCTCTTGGTTTTAATATATAGCAATTTATGCACAGTTAAATTGTGCACATCTAGCTTTACAAGCATGGGAATAAATAAATAAAATGGTGGTGGAAAGGGGTCAGGATTCTGGAGAAAATGACTTTGGCAATCCCACCCCAGAACATAACCCGCACCTAAGTTATCATAGAATTGTAGACCTGGAAGGGACCATGAGGGTCATCTAGTCAATCCCCTGCAATGCAGGAATCTTTTGCCCAACCTTCAGATTAAGAGTCTAATGCTCTACCTACGACGCTATTCCTTTCCTGGGGTTGCAGGCTTACTGTATCTATGTGGGGTTTACTGTCTATTTGTTTGGTTGTAAGTTACTTTGGATGACAAACTTAATGAATATAACTTATACAAACTTAATGAATAAAATAAAACTTAATACAGAGAATGCACCGAATCAAGATTCCCTGGTAACAAGGACAGCTACAGAAACCGAAAACCACAACTCAACTAAGTTGCATTGTCATTTTGCAGTTCTCACAAATCATGGGAGAGCAACATGAATTCTTCCTCGCGCATGCTAAAAGCATGTTTGCGCTTGTCCTGTGCCAGTTATTTTCACTTCTTGTATGTGCTTTTTTCAATAAACAAATAAAATTCAAAGGCGCAATCCAGCTGCTCAGCAGGCTGGTGATTCGCATTAGATACGAGGCACGGAAAGGCCTCGCCTGTGTAAACTCCCTGAACATTAACTTGGCGCTGAATCAGAGCCTCGTTTCCCTCTGCATTTGCGGATGGGAAGGGGCACCTCGCCTTGATCGGCAGCAGGGCTGCAAGACTGAAACGCGCTCAGCAGGGGCGCCGGCTACTTTGAAGACCCAGCTCGCACTATGAAGTGACTCCAGCAGGACGAAAAGAGATGCCACTTATTATTGGCGCTTCCCGAGGCACAAGCGGCATTTTATTAAGAAACCAAAGACTGCTGGAAAGATATTTATTCCCCACCCCTTCCTTCCTTCCTTCTTTCTTCAGAACTCACACAGGCAGCAAGTTTCCACCCGGGAGTTTTTATTTGGCAGAGGAGCGCGCGCGTGCGCGTGGCGTATCCTGCCGCGGGAAGTGCTTATTAAGGGGAATCCACAGAGGAAAGACTCCCTTCCTCATTCTTTAAAAAAGGGGGGGGGACGCCTTGGGTCGGCTTCATGTCCCTCAGGCCTCCTCCTCCTCCTTCCTCCCTCCTCAGAGACCTGCTGAGTTCCCGCCGCCCTTAGCAACGACCAGCGCCGCCCGCTCCCCTACTTGGCTTAGGCGGCCAAGGCAGGGAGCGCTCGCTGGCTGTGGGGAGGAGAAACATCGCCCGCAATTGCTATGACACCCCATTAAACACAAACACGCTCCACCGCCATTTCGGGCAATTTATGCTCTCCTGCCGCCGCCCCCCCCCCTCAGCCGTCCCCGCCTGGCGCTGACCAATCGGAATGTTGCGCACGTGACGAGCGTTCACTGCGATGACCTCATCCCTGGTGTGGGATGACGTCAAATTCAAGATGGATGGAATCACGGCGGTGGCGGCAGCGCGCGCGGGTGAATCGTAAAAGGAGGCGGCCGGAGAGTGGGGGGGAGGAAGGGGGGAGCCTGTCCAGCGGCGGAGAAGGTGAGTAGCGGGCCCCAGTTCCTGCCTGCTCAAGGCGGGTCTCCCCCCACCCTGCACAAAGGCGTGGGTTTCCCCATGCACAAAGGCGTCTTTTCCTGACGTAACTCTGAGGTATGTTTTTCCCCCCTCCACCGTGTAAGGGCTGCGGTCCCTGAGCTCGCATTTGCGCCTGCGCAGGTTACAAAACGGGTTCCCACCCCTTTGCGGCGCATGCGTTGATCCCAGCAGCCTCGCTCATGGTACGGAATACGCATGCCCTTGTATTCCTCTGGGTGTCTAATACGCATGTCAGTTGCCAGCTCTCGGTGCATGGTTACTTCTTTTCACTGCGCCTGTGCGTTGCCCATACGGACACAGTTGACCGCACACCCGCTATGCTCGGGGTAGTCCCTGTGGGTGGGGTGAAAGAGGGCTCTGTGAGCGTGCGCAGGAAAATGGGTGTGGTGGGCTGTTGAGCCTTATGATGTCATTCTGGGTAAGGAGTAGGGGGGAATTGCTCTCTGCAGAAGGAAAAGGGTGCTAATGTGCCCTCTCATAAGTGCTTTACACTTCTTGAGATGCTAGCATTTGGAGATGGAGGTTCAAGCACAAATAGAATGTGCACCCTGTGACATACTTTCTCCCAAACCAACATACACGTGGGTTGGTTCTAGCTATGCAGGAGGATTCTGGGGAGCGCTTTGGTCATAATAGCCAGATGTGATTTTGCTTTTGTTTTATCACTTGCTGACCCCTCTTAATGAAAATAGTTATGGGCTTGAACTTACACTGGTACCTAAGAAACTATGAATTTAGGTTTGTCCTTGTTGGTCTAGGTTACTGCTGCTTTGTTAACTCCCCGATTTTTGTATTTTACAGTACAATCTTATGCATGTCAACTCTAAAGTATGCCCCATAGACTTCAAATGGGCTTACTCCCAGGTAAGTTAGTATGGAATTGAAGCCTTACTGTAATATGGTGATGATTTTTTATTGTTATTTTTTAAATCAGAAATGTGCTTTATTGTCATGTGATTGATTCAGATAAAATAGCATTATCTCATCATTGCTTTATAGTCAAAAAGTAAAAGGAGAGAGAAATGAGAAATCATAGCACAAAGGCATATATGTACAGATAAATAATCTATTAAGATTATTGATAAGTTATTAATGGATAGCTGACAGAGAGTGGAAGAATATGTGGAGATAAATTCTTTAAAAATGGTGAGTAGAATCGAAAAAGAGATAAAATAAACCAGAACATCTAAAATGGAGAGTCTCCAAATGAAAGAGTTGTTTAATGATCAAATCACTGTGATTGAGTTATAAGGGTAAATATTATCTTCAGTTTTCTCATTCCATTGACATGAAAAAGTCCAGTGCTCTGTGGACTTATTCTCATGTTGATCTATGTCTTCTCTTCTTAGATGTGCATTTTAATGCATGTTATTACTTGTCATTTATTTTCCAACCAGACTTTTAACTGAACACATGCTTTGATCTTCTCGTTTTTTGCAATGTAAATTCTGGCAAGAGCTAGGAGAGTTACAGTTGCTTCAAAATCAATTAGTCTCACTTCAGATTTCAGGTACCAAAGAGGAGAAGATTTTATGGTGTATATATATCTTGGGGCAGGGGGAGGGGACTTTTGTCGTTTAAAGTTAGGCTATAAATGTGATAAAGAAATACAGTGTGGTGCTATCAAATACCATTGCCTGCTGAAATCAACTCAACCATACTGATGCCAAATCCAGCCACACAGACCAACAAGAACTAACTTGAGATCCAGCTAGGTCAGCTATAGAATCTGCTACTTCAATCCCAGAACTGTTTTCATCACAAGGTGCCAGCCCTGGGATACACAAAAATAAAGTGCATCTGGCCATGTCCTATGTGCTGCCTAGCCATCTTTTGAATAACTACAACCAGCCCATACAAATAAAGCATTCTGTTTAGATTTAATTTCAGTAGGCCCAAGCAGATGCGCCAGAATGTCTTCATGTGGAACATGAGTTTTGTGATACATCTAGCAAATGTATGTCCCAATATGATACAATGGTATCTAGTCATCTAAGTGAAAACTGATTGTGTATACAAATAAAACAACCCCATAACACACAAAGTAACACAAAAGAGTCTGAGGAATACAGGGTTTCTGCTCATTGCAGAAACAGATAAGAAAATAACAAAGCCATCAATTTCAGCCAATATCCTGCCTAAAATGGTATGAACAAGATGATGAAATTCAAGTAAATGAGATGGGCAGGTTTTCCTGGATAAAGTTGCTTTATATGTAGGTGCCACAACTGAAAAGGCCCTGCTCCTTATGCTCAGCCATCACACTTCAAGGCAATGAGGGCATTCACTGAAGTTTTTATGACAATGGGCCAAGTACAGGGGAAGAAGCATGTGTTAATAAAAATGGACCACTTCTGCTCTGCCCCCTTCCCACTTCAGTCACACAAGGCCACAAAGTTAAAACAATCCAAAATCCTAGTGAAACAAAAGTGCTGGTGAAGTACAGTTGTTCCTTTCCCAGCATGCTTTGCCATTTCACTGGGAAGGCAGTCATGGAGAAGAAGCCCTTGGTGTGAATTTCTTGGCCACACCACAGGAAAGAGAATCCCCTACTCAGAGTGACCATCCTGTGCTCCCAATGTGAGGCAGAAGGCATCCTTGGGCATCAGAGTCAGACATCACCTAATGTGGCTATAATACACCTCCAAGTGAGGGACACCAAGTGTTTCCCTCTGAGGTCCTGCCTGTGTCAAAGACAGGGTTGTGAATAGCCAAAATGAAGATTGATGACAAGACAAATCCCCTCCCCCCAAACTTTGCCTCTCTTGTGCTTGAGTAATGCAGGCTGCTTTCTCCATGCTCTTCTCTAATACTTGGAGTGAACTAAGCTGGGGAAAGCAGTTGAGAGATGTGAAGTGCGGCTGGGGTGGGTTTTTCCTCGCAAAGTGTTCAGTTGTATGCGTTGGGCTTAATTACATGTGCTTTAGGCTTAGTAGGAGATGAGAACTAAAGTGGTACTCCAAAAATATTGATGGAAGAGGGTTTTAAGGAACCTTTGAAGGAAGGGAGAAGTTACATCATGAAGGTGTTCTGTATGAGCATTCTTGACATAAGGAGTGGAAGGGGGAAAGAGCACAGTTGTTTAAGTGAGCAGGAAACCTTTAAATAGCTGGCAGGGTGGAATGAAGGCCACGGGTAGTGATATATCAAGATACAGTAGTGGAGATAGCAAAGGTGAGGGTGAGGTGTTTTTACGCAAATGGACAAGAAACCAGTGCAGGTGTTTATGCGGGATGTCGCATACTGTAGGCTGAACAGCAACATTGGTAAACAGGTCTTGCTTCAGTACCCAGCATGGTCAACTAAATTCTGGGCCTCACCAGCTCCAGGAGACCCACTTGGGCTGTTGTTGACCACTTTAAAAATGTTTTTTTTAAAACAAAACAAAACAAAACAAATGGATGGCCCTGTGCTGTACAGAAGTGGTGGTAAAAAGATACAGCCAGTGCTACAGTGATCATCTTTTTTCCAGTACCTCTGTACACCTGGGCAAGTTCTTGATAAGTCTGAGGTAGAACTATGGGGCACACCTTGCTCAGGGGCCTCCTCTCGCTCCTGACACTGCTAAGCAGGGGGAAAGAAAACAAAGCCAAAATCTGACTTGTAATATAAGAACATGGGCAGAATGAGTGGGAGCAAAAGTTTGTTCATGGCTGGCCACTTGTGGACATTTGAAGGAAACAAACCACAGGCCCATGTGTTCGCACATTGTGACATGACAGGCTTTGGCTTGGGCTTGTTTCTTCCCCTGTGCAGCGCAGTAATGGAGGAGGAGCAAAGCACCTGATAATGTGAAACTTTCACACACTGATTAATTTTTTTTCAAGCAAGCTGTTTTATCTCCCCCAGATCATCTGAGATGCAGACCTGAAAGTAACTGCAAATTAAGGAAGAAATGGAATCCTGAATCTTTCTGTTGTTTTTGAGCATATTCTAAATTCAAGAAGAGAGAAGGAAGGTCATATGGTATGTTTTATTTTTAAATTACATTTGTTTTAAGATTATACTTTTTGAGAAATTTCATTGTGTTTAGAGAGCATACCTGTTGGTGGGACAGGGGGACACTGCTGGAATGGGAGTCCTGCTAGACACACCTTGCAAGTTAGAAGTGAAGGGGAAGGAACAGTTTCTGTTCTTCTGTCTTTTCTGGGCATTCCCTCCTTCCTTCACTCTCCATTTTGGAACTGTTTCCTTCCCACTGTTTCCACTGGGAGGGAAATCACTTAGCTGAGCTCCAGGGCTGGCATATGTTTTCCCTGGTTTGGGGAGTAGTGTGTCCAAGGGCTGGGGATGCTATGGGTCTTTTAGATCCATGCCCCAGCATGGCCCTTTTGTGACTCTTCTCATGTTGGAAGTCCATTGTTAATGAGGCAAGAGCCATGGAGGTTTTCATGTCAAGCGGGTGCTACCCAAGGTTGGACCTTCCCTTCTGGGGTCAAATCTCTCTCTCCACCCTTGGAGTGGGAGGTCTGAAACACTCTATGGCCCCTGAGATGCTTTCCCAAAGGACATAGCATTGGAGGATAATAGTAAAATTAGCTGAAGAAAAGCTAGCCTATTTTGGATGCAAGGCTAAACTATAGCTAAGCAGAGGGAACCTGCAGTTTGTGTTGCTAGGCTACATCTCTAATCATTTACAGCCATTGGCCACAGGTTTCCACTGCTGAATTATATAAATAAGAACTGTTCCTAAAGTTTTCTTCACTTCTTTTTTGCTGCATAACTCATGATACATATAGGTGTTCAACCCTCCTTCTCTTGACACAGCCTTGTACACTTGAGTCAACCTCGCTCTAACACACAATCCTATACATGTTTATCTGAAGGAAAGTTCCCTCTGAATTCAGTGAGACTTAACTTATCAGTCCCCTATCTTACGGAACAGTAACCTTTCTCTCTCTCTTTTTTAAGAAGAATCCTCTTGGGTTTTCTTGCTTGGGCTGCAACAAAATTATGTTTGCATAATTCATTTTCATTGGCCTGGCATATATATATATATATATATATATATATATATATATATATATATAAAATTTACAGCTTTTTTAGAAGAGTTGTTCATGTAATCCTTATGACAGTTGTTTCATGAGGCTGTCGGTAAAATAAAAAAAGGATGGAACAATACTTGCCTTAAGCTATACATGTAAGATACAAAAGGCTCAGTTTCCCAAACATTGGGCTTGAGCCAGACTAGGTTAGTTGCGCTTGATTACCATTGAAAGCAATGGGATTTAAGTCACATTGATTACAATTTGAACAGACTAATTTAGTATCGATCCAAGCCAGCCTGCACATGTGTACAGTGGGATTGAAACTATACAGCACAATCCATGTTTACTTAGTAATAAGTCCTGCCGTGTTGACTAGATCTTTCTCCTTAGTAAATATATTTCGAACTGTGCCCTGAATATTTGTTTAGAAATTCATGGGGGTTCCCCCCCCAGAATCTGACTTTTAAGTATTTGCATGCAGTTTGCTTTCATATATTGGGTTATTTTTTGTTACAGAACAGGAGAAAATACCTAAACACATTTTTTGAACTCTGCTAGCTACTGTATGTAGTAATCACTACATTGGGGTGCCTTTTTTAAAGATAAGTTAGCTTCCATATGCCTAGAATCATATCTGGTTGTTGTTGTTTGCATTTATGAATTGCCACTGATAAGGCATCTTGGAGTGATTTGCAGTACAATAAAACATATATAAAACAGTTTAAGCAATTGCATATATAAAAACAACTATATAAAAAACAGTTTAAAATGGCAGCAAATATATGAAACCAATTACTGTGCACTAGGCTAGGCCTGTTGTTGTGGCTTACTGTGGGAGGAATTCAACTTGCGCTCTTCTGTTCATTCTGTGTGTGCAAGCGTTCATTGCTGCAAGACGGAAAATCCCACTCCCCTCCTTCCTCCTACCTGGCTTTCCAGCGTAGATTTGGGAAGAGAAATGTCCACACAGCACTAAAGGGAGCCGTTGTGATGGCTTTTGTTAACACACCAGGTTAGTTGAATCAGGGCCGATGTATCTGGGCACCACAGTTCAAGAAGGACACTGATAAACTGGAACGTGTCCAGAGGAGGGCAACCAAAATGGTCAAAGGCCTGGAAACAATGCCTTATGAGGAACGGCTAAGGGAGCTGGGCATGTTTAGCCTGGAGAAGAGGAGGTTAAGGGGTGATATGATAGCCATGTTCAAATATATAAAAGGATGTCACATAGAGGAGGGAGAAAGGTTGTTTTCTGCTGCTCCAGAGAAGCGGACATGGAGCAATGGATCCAAACTACAAGAAAGAAGATTCCACCTAAACATTAGGAAGAACTTCCTGACTGTAAGAGCTGTTCAACAGTGGAATTTGCTGCCAAGGAGTGTGGTGGAGTCTCCTTCTTTGGAGGTCTTTAAGCAGAGGCTTGACAACCATATGTCAGGAGTGCTCTGATGGTGTTTCCTGCTTGGCAGGGGGTTGGACTCGATGGCGCTTGTGGTCTCTTCCAACTCTATGATTCTATGATTCTATTCAATGTATTGCTGTTTTAACTCCCATGGTGTATTAGGCATATCATCTTCCCTCTGTCTCCAAAGGAAAACAGACTACTATTTATATATTGACTTTTCAGCCTGTTACTGGAGAAGAATCCTGTACTTTTACAGCTTTCTTTCTTTCTTTTTTCCTTTCTTTCCTTTTTTGTTTCTTGTAAATGTACCTAAACTCTATTGGTTTTATTTTTTCTTGTCTTGCAGGTATACCTAAATCATGGAGGGACTCTTGCATTATATAAATCCAGCACATGCTATTTCTCTCCTAAGTGCTTTAAATGAGGAACGACTAAAAGGGCAACTTTGTGATGTTGTTCTTATAGTGGGAGACCAAAAATTTCGAGCTCATAAAAATGTTCTGGCTGCCAGCAGTGAATATTTTCAGTCTCTGTTCACTAAAAAAGAAAATGAGTCTCAGTCAGTGTTTCAGCTTGACTTTTGCGAACCAGATACTTTTGACAATGTATTAAACTACATTTACTCATCATCCTTGTTTGTTGAGAAAAGCAGCCTTGCTGGTGTGCAAGAAGTGGGCTACAGTCTTGGGATTTCCTTTCTTACTAACATTGTTTCCAAAAGTCCTCAAATTCCATTGCCTGCATGTCCTATTAAGAAAATATTTTTCCAAGAGGATGATGAAAGCAGTTCCCAGAAGAGAAGTGTCATAGTTTGTCAGAGCAAAAATGAAGCACAGGGAAGAAATGTTGGTCAAACCTCACATGATGTAAGCCATAATTCTAAGTCCTCGTCCTCAGTTGCTGTCAAACCTAAGCGGCCACAATCTACACAGCCAACTGAGTTTCTACATAGCTTATCGCAAAATGAAAGGAGATGGCTGAAAGACAGTTCTTTAAGATACTCCAAGTCCCACGAACATTCTTCGGCTACAGCAGATGATCAAAGCAGAACTAAAAGGAATGCAGTATTGTCACAGAAAACATCTGTAGAGGAAGAAGTGGGAGCAGATGAAGCAGGAGGAAGTGATCAGTTCCTAAGAGGAAAGGCAGCAGAAGTACCTTTGAAGAGACCTTGTCCACCAGTCTTATCATTACGTAGCTCATCTGAATCCACATTTTTGTTGAGAGAGACAGGAAAAGGAGCTGGCCCAGGGGAAGACAGGAATTTGCTATACTATTCAAAGTTAGGATTAGTGATCCCATCTAAGGTATCTGGTCCTGCGAACCAAAGTATTGACAGGAGTGGGCCGCTTGTAAAAAGTCTTCTTCGAAGGTCATTGTCCATGGATAGTCAAGTTCCTGTTTATTCGCCTTCTGTCGACTTCAAGTTTTCTCAAGGACCTTCACTGGTGAACAACGCACAAGGGAGAATGTTAAATGTAATGTCACAAAAGCCATCTGTGAAAGAGTCTTCAGGAGAGGCAGTTCCTGATGACAAGACACATGTAATGTACCCCCATCGCCTTAGGTCTTTTAGTGCCTCCCAGTCTGGAGACAGGGAGGTCTCTTCACCTCTTAGAGAAATACGGATTAAAACAGAACCTAGCAGTCCACTTTCAGAGCCTTCTGAAATAATAAGAATTACTGTTGGGGATGCTTCATCATCTTCCAATAAGATTAATGCTTTTAAAACAGAAGATGATCATAAAGATCTCAGTAGACTCCCAGCTAAAAGGAGGTTTCAAGCAGACAGAAGGCTACCACTCAAGAAAATCAAAGTGGATGAACATGCTTCCCCTGGGTCTGAGGACAATTTTGAGGAAAACTCAAATCCTACACCCCATGATGCTGATTTCCCTGATTCTGACATTAGCAAAGATGAATATAGTGAGCTGGAAGAAACAAAACCTAACAAAAAGTTTAAGTGCAAACATTGCCTTAAGATATTCAGGTCAACGGCAGGCCTTCATCGTCATGTCAATATGTACCACAACCCTGAAAAACCCTATTCTTGTGATATTTGTGATAAGAGATTTCATACAAACTTCAAAGTTTGGACGCATTGCCAGACCCAGCATGGAATTGTGAAGAACCCTTCACCCGCTTCCAGTTCCCACGCTATCTTGGATGAAAAGTTCCAAAGGAAATTAATTGATATAGTGAGGGAGCGAGAGATTAAAAAGGCCCTGATCGTCAAGCTAAGGCGTGGCAAGCAAGGTTTTCAGGGACAGGCTGGTTCACAAGCACAGCAAGTCATCAAAAGAAACCTGAGGTCGAGAACCAGAGGAGCCTACATATGTACCTACTGTGGGAAGGCATATCGCTTCCTCTCACAGTTCAAGCAGCATATAAAAATGCATCCAGGGGAAAAAGCAGTTGGAGGAAATAAGCCACTTAAGCCCAAAGAGGAACCTCGCGTCGAAAGCCCAGTAGAAAACAAAAAAGTTTACCAGTGCCGCCTTTGTCATGCTAACCTTCCCTCTCTTATTGAACAGGGGAATCATGAGCGGCTCTGCCGGAATGCAACTGTCTGCCCATACTGCAGCCTCCGTTTTTCTTCTCTAAACCTGAAGCATGACCACGAAATGGCATGCGAATACAAGAAGCTCACCTGCCTAGAATGTATGCGCACTTTCAAATCCTCTTTCAGTATTTGGCGTCACCAGGTTGAGGTTCACAATCAAAATACCATGGCTCCGACAGAGAACCTGTCTCTGCCGGTTGTGGAACACAACGGCGAAGTGAGCGGCACTTCCAGGCTGCATTCTCAGCTGGAGCCAAACAAGACAAACAGCTTCGTTGCAGCCAAAGAAGACAGCGTGTTCAGCGACTCCTCCGAGCAGATTAATTTTGACTCGGAAGATTCCTCATGCCTCCCCGAAGATCTGAGTGTCTCCAAACAGTTTAAAATCCAAATCAAAGAAGAGCCTGCAGATGATTTAGAAGAGGAGGTCTCTGAAGGCAACCAGGAACACAAGGAAACCGTCTCCAATAAAGACACTGGCTTGTGGCCTTGTGAGAAATGTGGGAAAATCTTTACAGTACACAAGCAGCTAGAGCGCCACCAGGAGCTTTTGTGTTCGGTGAAGCCCTTCATTTGCCATGTATGCAACAAAGCCTTCCGCACCAATTTCCGCCTGTGGAGTCACTTCCAGTCCCACATGGCACAAGCTACAGAGGAGCCTGTGCGAAAAGAACCTGAGATTTACGCACCAGCTAATTCTCCGTCGCCCCCACCTTTGCCTCCTCCCCCACCCCTTCCCAAAATACAACCTTTGGAACCCGATAGCCCTACGGGGTTGTCAGAAACTCCTTCAGTTACTGAGAAATTATTTGTCCCTCAGGAATCGGACACACTCTTTTACCACGCTCCACCACTTTCAGCGATCACTTTCAAAAGACAGTATATGTGCAAACTCTGCCATAGGACATTCAAAACTGCATTTAGTCTTTGGAGTCACGAACAGACACACAATTAAAAGAAGAAGAAGGCATAAAGAATGCCTACAAGGGATTTTTAAGATTTAATTTCCCTGATGTTTCTGAAGTTACAGCATTTGAAATGAAGTTTATATATATATATATATAAAGGGACAAGAACCCTCAGCAATTAAATTTGACATTTGTGGTGCAGCTTTGGATGTGGAGATTAAGGTAAACTCAATTTATTGTTAGTAAATTGCTCACATTTTAAGGCATTGTGGTCTAGGATCTCCTACTTAATGAATAATTGCATTCATTTAAATCTGGTTACATGTTCTTCCTATGATCCTGGTATATATGGATTTATATAAAAAGGCAACAGCAAGTTAAAAGAGTTTAGAATAATGCAAATCCTGAAAAATGTCTATTGTTTTCACAGAGATTAATTCTCTCATGGGCGCCATAGAAATATTACTCATTCATTTGATGTTAAGGGAAGAAATTGAGAATTTTGCTGTGTTGACCTTGATCTTATTGAACGTTAGCAATAACAAATAAAACCTCGTTTGAGTTAACTTGACCCTTATTGAAAACTGATTAACATGGAGTTTTTTGGTTACTGGAATTTTCTGTATGGATATTGTGCAAGATACGATACAATTAAATGTTAGCAATATGTGAATATTTGGATTTTTATATATAAAGTAGCAGCCAGCCTGCTTCCAGCCATTTTAAAGCATTTTTGAAGGAAGAGTATCAGAATGAAGATGCTTTATTTGGGCCTCAGAGGCCGATATTCTATAGATATTTTGGTAACTAGACAATGTGCTAAGCAACTGCCAACTGATATCCTAATGCAAACTATATTACTGTTTTAAATACAAAACAGCATTGAGTGGATGTCAAAAATTAAGTTGTGCTTTGTTTCTTCTGATTTGTATTGGTGTGGATGTGTTTTATTACAGTGGAATGTATGACTATGCTAGTTCTGAAAAGGAGAAGCAAATGCAGTTTTTTTGGTGGTGAGCTCTGCTGAGAATACAAGAAAGTTTTTTGGGGGGGGAGTTCAGATGTAAATATTTACATATGTATAAGTGAATAAAATAAAAACACAGAACCTCTATTAAATATAAATAGTTTGGAAAGGAAAATGCAGTACCACAAATGTATTTCACAAATAACGAGCAGAATGTTTCTCTTACCCTGTATCATACTTTGAGTATCTTTTTGTTTTGTACTTAAATAAAAAAAAGATTGTTTAAAGCATATGAAGTACAATCCAATACTCACTTAGGCATGCTTAAGGCCTATGGGTTGTATTCAATGCTGTTGTTCCACTTGTACAGCAGACTTCCACTTGTGTAATATAATGTCCCCCATTCACCTGCAGACCCCTCAAAATCTGCTCCAGAGGCTTGGGGGACCCTCCAGAGTAGATTTTGGGGGAGTAACAGGGGGATAGTAAAGTTTTATTGTGCAAACGGAATTCTGTCACACAGCGTTTGATATGACTCGTTGATTTTTGTGGGTCTAATCATGCAGTAGATGGTGACATGCAGTCATACTTACTGTGTTAAGAGCATGTAAATTCCACTTCATCCAGTGCAATTTACACACACACCTATTTATAGGACAGCGGTAGCCATATACCTTTTCCAAAGATCCATGTGTGCTTAGATAATATGCACAAATTCTTGTACACATTAGGGTTCTCATTCATTGACTTCACCTGTTGAAATAAAGGGAGAAACCATTGGGTAGGCAAGTTCTGTGTGCACTTTGGTACTCACGCAGTTGGAAAAGACTACAGGAATTGGGTCACTGAGTTGTAGCAGGGCCCTTGCTCCCAAATGACAGAGTAGCACCATTAATACAGATATCTGCCAGGAAGCTCTTACGGTTTTGTTTCCTACTCAGGAATCGACATTTAAAATTAATGAATTGCTAGTTGCATTTTAAACTTGATCTAAGGTATGAATGCTGTAGTTCAATTACTTAGCTTTTGGATTATGGGAAAAGACAGTAAACTTTGGTGTTCAGCTCCGAGTAATTATGAGATTCATTAAAAGGAGTGAGAAGTTGGTTCTTGAGTTCGTGTGGAGCGGGAGTAGTAACTGGCACCCCAATTTTAAATGAATTTATTTTTAAGGAATTCTGTTGATATCAATAGAATCAACTTCCATGGCAGTCCAGAAAGAAGAACAACATAGCACGTTTCCTAAGACTTACTACATATTTGGAAATTAGTCCCATTAAGAAGCAATTTTGATCTATTTAATGCCATTAATGTGAAATATGGTTGGGTTGTTTTGTTTTTTTTACTTGTTTTCTGAAGAATAGTGTATTAGAAGCTGCTTTTGAAGCCCAGCTATATATTAAAAGCAGCTTCTGATGAAGCATGGGAAACTGCTCTTCAGAAATGCAAATAAAATAGCTCATTACCTGTGTGGATCTTCCATGGTTCCATTTTAAGATCCAACAGGGTGTGAGGCATACAAAACTTGGATCTTTCTTTCCTAAACTTTAAGATTTTGCATAGCTTTCAAGTAGAATAAGAACATCAAGTGATGAAAGCATGATACTTAATTTCAGAGTGGTGGGTTCTGGCCCCATGTTGGGTAAAAGGTTCCTGCTCTGCTGGGGGTTGGACGAGATGATTATCTGGGTCCCTTTCAGCTCTGCAATTCTGTGATTCTGTGCAGTGTAACAGAATTCTAAAAGTGGAAGCGAGGCCTATTACTAGCGAGACCTTTTCTCTTTGTGCTATAAGCAAATATTTGTATCAAAACTTTGCTTATTCCATACTTAAAAGGTATTTAGGGCAGTTCGCTCAGGGCTTTTCTCACACATTCCAGCATTCCTTACCCATATCTGTGTGTAGCACATAAATACCTTCTGCAGAAATAGCAGTAGAACCTTTTCCAACTGCTGTGACAAGAGAAATCTATGCTAGTTGCATCTTTTCTCCTTTAGTTTACACGTTGCATGTCTCCATATGTGTATCTGCCTAATGATGGTCATGACTACTCATATGTAGACGGGAACGGAAAGTGCAACTCAACCTACCTACAGTTTGTCCATTGGTTTTATACACAAAACACTATGCGGTCAATTACATTCATCAGAACTTCACTGATGTTAGTTATAGAATTTGCATTAATTTCAATGGATTGGAGTCAATATCATCCTTTCTAGATACCAGTATTTTATTCTAGCAGGGCTCCTGTGCCTTTAAGCAACTATGGGGCAGACATTTCCCCCAGCTTTGACTCCATACTGGGAATAGCTTCACCTATTGAATTTCTTCTTACAAGCCCTGCCAAAACCAGGTCCCCCCACCTCAGTCCTAGAAAAGGGAAATATGCCTTCATAGCAGTGCTTTGTTAACTGAATCCTCAAGCATCTAGAAAAGGGAAGTACCGGTACTATGCCTGTCTAATGGTGCTTCACTAACGTAATCCTCAAGCAGAAACTTCAACAGGAGTTCTGCTATATTACTATTTGGGTTATAGTAAGGTAATAAAACCTAAATAACTAGGATTTTAAAGACTACAATATGCTTTTTAAGAAATGGGGCTTTTTCTTAAAAAATAATACTAAGGATTTTTGTTAGTTTCTAATGTTAGGTCTGTTTTTGTTACCTTTTTCACATCAGTTCTTGTTTATTAACTGATTAAAAAACAACCCTGCCTCTCAGAATACTTTTTTGGGTACGTTTATAGACAAAGATTTTCCCTCTAGGTTTTTAATCCAATACTTTAAAGAGCTGTAAGAGTGTTTATTTTGCTGGACATGGAATAAATATACTTCTGCTTAAAGATTAATATATGTTTTAAAAGTTATAAATTATGGAATATGTTGCTTATTATATACCTTAAATCTTCAAGGAATATATTTAGTTTGACCATAATAAAAATAAAATGAAAACTATTGATTCGTTATTTATCATGTTTAATTCTGCAGTGCTGTAATGAAATACTAAAATAGTCTCATTCTACACAAGAAAAGGCTTTGGCCTTTTGTCTGAGTATATATTTTTATCAAATAAAGTTCACAGTCTCTCAAACTGAGGGATTTGAGGTATTAACATGAGAAAAATTTGCAGATTTTAAATACATATTTTACAATACTTATTTAGGTCTGTTGCTAAAATGGACAAAATTCAGCCCTCTTCCAAATAGTCACTTGAATGAGAATTTAATGTCAACATGTTCAGAAGTAGCCCTTGAAATTAAAGTAATTTCAGACTTGTGTAATAAGAGTATTCCTCCAGAAAAGCTTAATCAACATCTGGAAATGGACATTTAATTCTGAAAGCACCAATATTTGAAAAGGTGTTTTTGGTTTTAAGCAAGTGCTTTGCTGAATTCTATCTACAAATAAAAATATCCAAATGGTAATAACTGTGGAAAAACTTCATGGAAGTATTTCTCTAAAATACTTTAGCTATTTAAACATACTAAGGAAATGTAGCATTACTTTCCCATCTACCTTTGTTGGATTTTTCTGTATGGAAAGGAAGGGTTATGAAAACAATTTTTTTCTAATAAATGGATCCTTAAATTATTCCCTCCCCCCCCCAAGCAACTATTAATGGCTCACTTAGAATAGCCACACTTAGGTCAATGGGATACTTTCAGAGAGTTGCATCTGGGTGTCACCCTTGTGATTATATATTGGGATACTTGATTTACTCTCCTATATTTACTAGGGGGGACGCGGGTGGTGCTGTGGGTTAAACCACAGAGCCTAGGACTTGCCGATCAGAAGGTCGGCGGTTTGAATCCCCACGACGGGGTGAGCTCCCGTTGCTCGGTCCCAGCTCCTGCCAACCTACCATTTCGAAAGCACGTCAAGTGCAAGTAGATCCATAGGCACCGCTCTGGCGGGAAGGTAAACGGCATTTCCGTGCGCTGCTCTGGTTTGCCAGAAGCGGCTTAGTCATGCTGGCCACATGACCCGGAAGCTCCCTTGGCCAGTAAAGCGAGATGAGCGCCGCAACCCCAGTCGGTAACGACTGGACCTAATGGTCAGGGGTCCCTTTACCTTTTATTTACTAGGGCAGTGCACATGATCTTGCTAGATCCCAAACCAAATTCAAGTTGAACTGGGATGCAGCTGGATTGGATGGAGGCAGCCCCAGGTCAGGTCAGGTCCACCTGGAATGATCTGGGAGTGTCAAGGGCGGCATTCTAGCAGCAAGGGCAGGGGCAGATGTGCAGGCAACCTGCATGTGTTATTCTCTCCCGCCCCCCAACCTGAAGACCATGCTTAATCAGGGTTTTTAAACCTAATTAAACGCTGTGTACAGACCTGGATTGGTAGGAGCCCAGATCAGAGTTGGTTCAAACCCAGGTCAGATCAGGGCTGCTCCAAAGCAAATATTTATCTCTCTCGCATTACACAGATTTCCAAATTATTGTAGTAATTCCTGGATTCAGAAGTGGGAAATCCAAATAAATTGCATTTAGCAACATGGTCAAAACTCTGAACCCAACAACTTTGATTCCAAACTAATTCCATGTATTGATTTAGACCACAACGTCAATGAAATTGTTTCAGACAGTTTTTCTGTATCTTTAGCACCATGTCTGAATCCTGACTCGAGGGCTAGAGCAGGCATAGGCAAACTCAGCCCTCCAGCTGTTTTGGGACTACAACTCCCATCATCCCTGACCACTAGTCCTGTTAGCTAGGGATCATGGGAGTTGTAGTCCCAAAAACATCTGGAGGGCCTATGCCTGGGTTAGAGACACAAAAGATTGTTTTTTAAGAGCTGAAAGTGGTTCTTCCACAGTTATATTTGATTCAGGAGATATTTCAGGTTTCTAAAATTACAAACCTTTCAAACCTGTTTATCAGCACCATAGGAAGGCGTATATCGTCATAGGTAACAATAACTTTACCATGTTTCTCTGGAAGTGTGTTTTTATATCTTCTTCAACCCTAACCCATTGTCATTAGCAGCTGGTATGTGCCTATAGTCCTCTGTAACATTGTTTACATTTTCTTGCCTGAGTATTAGGGTAAAATAAACGTACATTTCTTTTTCCTACAGTGGTAACTAGTTCATCAGTACTGAAACCTTGTATAGAGCTGAACCTTACTGTAATAGTCTGGGCTGTAGTGTCATATACAGGTAACTCACAGCTTACGTGCATTTAACTTGTGTGCATTCAACTTTACACTCTTGGCAAATAAAAACAAATAAATAAAAAGGGGTCATCAGGTGGGGGGGGGCTTTGGCAATTCCACTCGCCATTGCACTCAATGTGTTTTGACTATATGTGATTTTTGGCTTTATGTGTTATTCCTGGAACTTAACCCCCATGTAAGTTAAGAGTTGCCTGTATTCTTATCTCAAAGATTTTTGTATGGCTTAACTTGACCTGTGAAGGAACACTATCAAGATGAGCACTCCATGAGGTCCTTAACCATTTTTACCACTTTATATCATGAAGAAACTATCTAAATTATAGGCCTCCTAGGGTAATATCATTTATTTTTAAAGGGCCACTGTTGTCAATAAAACTAAATCTGCTTCTAATTGCAGCATTGGCACTTATATGGTAAACAATTAAATGCCTACATATGAATGTTGCTAATTCTTTTTATAGCTCTTGAACCTGATTGTGTGGACTGCACCAAGTTCTTGTTTTTGTGTTTTACATTTTAATTTAGTTTTGCATTTCATAGCACTTTGTTGGTTATACATACCACCAGTTACCTTTCAGCTGTATGTTAACTGGTTGCTAATTTATTTTATCCCCTTCCTACAGCCAAAGGTCAAATCTAAATGGCTTGAGGGAAGTTTCAAAAGAAAATTAACAAAAAGGCCTAATTTTCTTGATAGTATTCCTATCTACTCTGGGGCTTCTTTAAAAGGGCAACTGGAGTAGCCATCACCAATATGCAGAAAGGACTGTAACTTAACTTCTATTGACATTGCTTCTGATCTCAAACTAAAGATATATACAAATTTCATTAAAAAGGTCTGTTTTTATAATTATTTATATATTGTAGGCATTATACTGGTTTAATACATCTGTGCTGAATTTTAAGTAGCAATCCAATTAACTTTTTTAGGACTGAGAAATCCTGTTTTCAGAATCCCTTCTTTTAATGTAATGTTGCTGCTTTGTATTACTTTTCTACTGTATGTTTTCTTTACCTAAATCTTTATTAAGAAAATTTGGAGTAAAATAAACATGTTCTTTCAAGTGATTCTGTCTCATGGGAGTCTAATATGAAATAGGCTGCCAGTGCTCCAGTTCTCATTAGTTGACAGTAAGACCCTGCGATATCAGAGGAACTTATCACTAGTTTAATGTGTTGCAGCATTGGGATACATAAATTTTGTATTTTCATGCTATGAACCACCCTGAGATCTTTGGATGAAGAGTGGTACACAAATTTAATAAATTTAAGAAGAGTCACAGTTGTATGCAGGAGTTCTTCCAGGGCCACCTGCCCTCCTTCCCCTTGCAGTAGTTTTCCCTGTTGCCCTGCCTGTGTAGTTGCTTAAAGGCGCACTCTGATTCTTGGGATCAATAGCTAGGCCAGCATAGTCTCCTTCCCCACTCTTGGCCCCCATGTTTATAATGGAAGCTGGCAGCCCAGGCAACTGATGCTGAGATCTCATTAAAATCCAGCTGTGCAGTGGAATTAAACGGCATTTTTTCCTTAGCACTTAAAAATCCAAGCAATTGTTTTACTGTTAAGCTAAGCAGCAGCTTAGATGGGCACCCTGGGCTCCATACTGGGGTGTCAGAGAGCCAGGGCACTTCATCCCCTCCCTCTGTTCTCCTATGGCTGCTTTCAGGAGGAGAAAATTAGCTTTTGAGATTTTTGGCAAATAATTGTGGCTCCAGAGCTCAAACTTCACTGCTTTAGTTGGACAACCAGAAACCCGATGAAATGATCTGCTACAGGCATGTGAGGTCCTTCCAGGGATGTTCTGGGTTTAGTGTAAGCTTAATTCAAGTATTTTTTGTTATTTTAAACCTACCTTCTAACCATATGTCACACATGCCCCTTTACGTTTGATATCTTAGCAGGTACTGTTGTACTACAGACCCATAACGGGGGGGGGGGGGGAGGTGCTGATGTACAACTTTTCCTAATGTGTAAACATGCTGCATGGAGTTGACTGGAGAATGCACAGAGTACTTTCAGAAAGCATTTTTCGCACAGAGGATGCACGATGAGAAAAAAATGTGTGTTTTTTACATAATCTCAGGAACCCAAACAGTAAGCATAAAACAATATACAAATACTTAGAAGTTACAATCTATCACTTATATAGGTAAGCATACAGTGTCCATGCTTTTCTGCTGTTTTCTTGTTATTATAGGTGCCAAAATCACACCAGACCATACATTTATATAACAGTCTGACCTTTAGCTTCCTTCAGTTTGTCAGTCAGCTTTTTTGTTATTGCCAAACTTTTCCAAGCCAAGGTGGCTCCCTTTAGCCTTTCCCAAAACCTGGCCACCTTTTGAGGAGCTGCCATCAAAAAATGCCCTATCAATTTTTACTTTTTAGGTCTATATTTTGTCAAAGCTGTAATATTTCTGTTTTTGGTCTTGTGGTACATTGTTATTCAGTGTCAAACCACTTGCTTCAACTGTCAGTCAAAGAGGTGACCCAAACATTAACCCACATGGTCCATGTGCGAATATTCAGACACACAGCTGACCAATTTTTAGGGAAATGCCTTTTGCTTAGCAGTTATACCTGTGTGGGGTCTTGGCTCACCATCTTTAAATAAGGCCAATCAATTTATCTGTGAACTTCAATAACACTTTGTGGGGGTTTGGGGGCATTATTCAAGTAATATTTTTAAGGGTCTTACCAAAAAATATGCCCTAAAACAATACGATTTGGGCCTGCCTCGAAACCTTGACAGCAAAGGGCTCGTGAGCCCCAGAGATGCGCCGCAAGGCCTCGCGCGCAGGCTGAAATCGGACCTGACATCGGAGCTGGTTTCCCATTGTCCAGGCCGCTGGACGGCCACTTCCGCAGGCTTGGCCGGAGCAAAGGTGGGCGCGACTGCAGCCCGCTGCTGCGCCTTTAAGGGCTGTGAGGTGCCGGCTGGGAAGGGCCGCCGAGGGATAAGGAGCCGCCGCTGCTGCTGCTGCCCGGTCCGCGTGAGAGGGGAGGGGATTTCCTCCCTCCCCTTCTCCTCCTCGCAGGCGGCGGGGCAGCTTAGCTGAGAGCCGGGCGACAATTCCCTCAGCGCCCGGAGGCGGGACAGCTGCCGGGCCCTGAGGAGCCGCGCACGGGGTCCCGCAGGGCTGCCCGGAGAGGAGCAGGGCGAGGGCAGGATGCGGCTGCTGGCTCCTCCGCTTCCCGGGGCCGCGGAGCGCGCTTGGTTGGCGGCGCTTCGGAAGGCTTCTCCTCGTCCTCTTCCCGGCCGGCGGCTGCGGTAGCTGCGCGCGTGTGGCGCTGCTTGAAGGCTCGGCTGGGCAGGTCCTGCCCTGTGACGCGGGCTCCTCCTCCTCCTCCTGGCGTCCCGCTCGCTGCTGCCTCCTGGCTCGGGCGACTTCTCTCTCGCTGAGGGAGGCGAATGTCCTTCGCGAGCCCTTCCGTCGCCGGGGCTGCTGGCTCTCGCCCCTCCGGAGAGGGATTCTTCTTCTTGCTCCGCGTGGGCCGGCGGCGGCGGCGACCCGGAGGAGCCCGATGCCTTGAGGCGCGCGGGGAGGCGGGGAGGGATCCTGCCGCCACGTGAGGAGGCTTCCCCCGCCGCTCCCCTCATTATGGTCAGTCATGTCTTGGCTGGCTTACTGGCTGGGCGAGCTGCAGCGCCTCTCGCTGCTCTCCTTGTTCGCGGCCGCCTTGACCGTGCTCGCCGTCTACCTGGTGCAGTGGGGCCTGGGCGCGCTGCGGCAAGGCGCCAGCAGGCAGCCCTCGCCGGCGCCCGAGCAACTTCTGCCCCCGGACGAGGGTCCCCTCTTCGCCTGGCTGCTGTCTCTGAGCAGCTGGAGGAGCCAGTGGCAGAAAGCCTGGATAGCGGCGCTTAACCGGGAAGCCAAAGCAAGGGAGGTAAGACAAAGCATTGAGGCGAGCTCTGCGTGATTCCGGCTCCGTAGGGAGCTGGGCTCGCCATCCCATTCCCTGCAATTCCTTTTCACCTCGCTGGTCGCGATCTTGCCTCGCCAAACTGTGTCCTGTAGACCTGCAACTCGGGAGAAAAGGACTTGGTGCACCTGAGGAAGCGCACCGTGGTCCAGCGAAGCTTCCGCCATCGTCATACTTTAGTTAGTCTTGGAGGTGCCACAACAAAACTGCGTGCTGTTTTTGCTGCAAACAGACTACAGGGGATACGCTAAGGCGCTCTGCAGTCTGGAATTGAGCAACGACAAATAATGTTTACTGGGGGGGACCTGAGAACTTGCACTCAAATCACGGTGCCATGAGAATTGCACCGTAAAAGCTGCTCGATTCTTAAGTGTTGTGGGTTGCACTGGTTGCACCGAGAGCAGGCGATTTTCGTTGACCACACACGGGCAGGACCTTTCAGCTTTGCGTAGGGAGTGGACTTGATGTCAACAGAGTGTGGTTGATAAGCGGCCAAACATAAATGAATTGGGGCTGTACAGTTCCTTAAAATCAGGGAGACTTTGTGTGGAGTGATCAGTGTAATTTTGTTTAACCTGAAATCTAAAATCTGAAAAAAGGGATCTTTTCCTCCTTGCTACCAAACAACTATTTGCAAGTAGGTTATGTATAAACTCTCTGGGTTTTCTTGAATTTCTGGAAAATGGAGCAATTCCTTCACTATTGTTTGTGACTTTATCCCTTAAAACTCCCATCCCAAGAGTTCATTCATTCGGCCTCCTTTTCTCCCACCTATGGGCATAGACAAGATTTATTTTAAGGAGAGGACAGGCTTTTTCTTAGGGGAGACAGAACTGAGTTATATGTGATGAAATTGGTCAGTTAAGTATTTCTTTATTTACTTACCGTACTTGATTTAGGGGGGCAGCTGCCCCCCAGGAGCTCTTTATTATTATTATTATTGCTATTACGTTTTTGTTTCATGAAATTTATATAAAATATAAATCAAAGCAGTTGTGCCGTGCATAGTCATCTAGCCCATTGGTCTGCAACTGGTAGGTCACGACCCGCTTGTGGATCATGGCCTGAGCCAAGGTGGGTTGCAAAAGGAGCACTGCCACCAGAGGCATACCTAGGGTCCCTTGTTGGTGCCCGCCCCTGAAAAATCACTTTACTGCACCCCTTTGTGTGAAGGATGGGAACCTTATCCTAAATTTCAGTGCTTCGCCACACACATATATACGCTCCGTAGCCTGGTAGGTGATTTTTGCTCGTGCCCCCCCAGGCCTGCAACCCCGATGAAGGCCAGTTTCACCGACCCTTAGGCATGCCTCTGACTAGCACCCTGCAATTATATGTATGGTAAAAGGTTAAGAAATGCATCCCCAAATGCATGTTTGGTTTAAAACTGGGTCCTGGGTCAGGAAAGGTTAATGATACCTGACCTAGCACGTTGCTTGTCTGTGTTCCATTAGATCCTAATAACTTTAAATCAAAAACAAAAAAACCTGCAAATTGAACTGTAAATTGTGAGGGGGTCAAAGGCTAGGAAGCAAGCACACTGTAGGAAAGCTGATAGGAAAGTAACAATGCCTTGCATCCGTACATCCTTTCCAAGAAAGCAACTGCATCCTTTTTCTTTTGATGAGTTCACTGCCTGGCAGTGCAATGTGTTTTTACTCTCTCACTGAGCCGTCCAACTCAAAACAATGCTGTCATCAGGAAGCCAGTGAAACTCTGATTTGCTTCTTCTGCTTCATCACAGACTCGAGAAGAATGTTAATGTAACAACTGAGCATACGCAACATATAATAAGCAGTTTGTAGTTAAATGTGACTCCATTGCTAATGTTGCAAATTCAAGAGATTACACACACACACACACACACACACACACACACAGGCTTGAAATCCTAAATTTTTAGCAATGTAGATGACTACTAAATTCTCCATCTTTCCATGAAGGGGTGTGCTAGCTTTATTTATTTTACTTATTTGTTAGTTGACAAATGTGAACAGGTCATTAAAATCACATCATACATGACTGAAAGTACAAAAGAGAAAGGTAAATGTACCCAGTCTTAAGTGACCATCACTCTTTTTAAAAAAAATGTTTTTATTAAAGATTTGGGGGGGGGGGTTTACAAAAGTCCATACAGTGTCTTACAGTTCATAGAGTCCTTCCTACAAATCAGTTAATTTTTTTTGCACATTTTAAAATCTTGTGAATTGTCATAAGCCAGTGGAGCAGCAGTAGCTTGAGTGCAGGACCGAGAACAGAAAGTCTCAGCTGTTCAGCAACCTTTCCATTGGCCACAGTTTGAGAACATCTGCAGTAGAGCTTTCAGCACTGCTTAAAGTTTACTTGTGTTCAACAGGAGTTGTATTCCTTTCCCCTGCCAATGATTGATCAATTATATTTCTATGCTACTTTTCATTCAAATGAATCCCAAAGCTGCTTATAAATAACAATTCAATAATAGAACATCACAAATACAGCATGAATCACCAGCAAAACAATTATAAATGATCAATCAAACAATTGCGATCTATAAAACACTATTAACAAAACTACTAAAAAAAGCTAAACATCACAATTACAACAAAAATCATATGATAGGATCCAAAAAGTGCTTCAGCCTTCATAATCTATAAAACAATAACAACAGTAACAAAATAGCAACCAAAAATAAGCTAAGCACAGTTGAATTCATGCACACATTCTCCTTACCCCATGACTCAAGCTTTCATGTATATTATAATGAACTGAAAGTATGAGCATGTAGTTTAACACACACACACACACACACACACCAGCTACAGCTGGTAATGCCAGTTTAATAATATTTGTGTATCTGACACTCTAACAGAACAAAAAACACATTGTGTTTTGCATAGTACTTGAACCTCAGAAAACACAAATAAGGAACTGGGGCTATTCATCCCAATTTCATACTTGGGCCACCCCAAATCATGCAATTGCATTTCCAGGAGATTGCCTTGTATGAGACAACCCAAGCACTGTATCTTGTTCACTGCAGTTTTGTGTAAACTACTGGCAATTATTGTTGCATGCCTAGCATTCTTGGTAATATTTGTAGAAATGAATAAGGAATTGGAGGCTGTACCCCACAATAATATTTGAGCAAACACTAACCATACACAGACACAACCCTAAGAGTGTCCTCAATGAGATGCAACATCCTACAAGATTGCCTTGGGCGAACTAGAATCTGTTGGCCTTAGCCCCTAATTTGCAATTATACAAATAATACTGGCCTACCCTAAAGAGTCATTAGGAAGACTGGGGGAGTTAATGTGAATCCTTTGAACACTCTAAAGTGCTGTATAATGCTAGGTAACTTGTTGGTAAAATTACTCTGTTTAGTATTGTCAGTATGGGGTGGACATGGACTGCTCACAGGGGTTAGTTCTTAAAAGTAAACTTATGTCCACCACAGTATTAAGTAGCCATTACTTGGTTTCTGTTTATACTGAAGTAATAATTAGGTGACACAATTAGGTGACGATCTTGTATCCACATGATTTATGGCACACATTACTAAGCAAGATAAATATAAGTTGCTTTTTGGCTCTTCTAATATAAGCAGTTGAGCTTCTCAGGCACCTAATTCAGATGAAATCAAGGAGCTGTTATGGCAAGCATATTTGCATACTTAATTGTCAAATATTTCTTCCTAAATTTAGTCCTAGGACTTGGAATTTAGCTGAACATCCAGCTGTTTGGGGTTCTTTGGAATCTGTGAACTTCAATAATAACATATACTCTGAAACCCATGCCAAACAGGGAACTGAGAACGTCAGAGCCTGCTGGATCAGGCCAATGGCCCATCTAGTCTAGCGTCCTGTTCCCACCATGTTCATCCACCAGATGACTGTGGGAAACTCTCAAGGAGGACTTGAGCTCAAGAGCATTCTTCCTTCCTGTGGTTTCCAGCAACTGGAACTCAGAAGCATTTCTGCCTTGGGCTATGGAAACTATTTCAAATAAATGTTACTTTTCTCCCCCAGGACTCCCGCTTGTTTACATTTGAAGAACATGCAGCTCCTCAGCCTCTAGAGCTTGTGGTACAACGTGTTGTAAGTGTGGTAAAGTCTGCTGATGAAAAGGTGAGCTTGCTTGACCTGATAGTTCCTTACTTTGTGGGTCTCTTGTCTCGTTTTCCCATCCCCACCAAAATGTATGCATTTGAATTTCTGAACCCTAGATCTGGGTCAAGGACAATTTTAAAATGATACATATCAGTCAGTGTAACAATTTGCTATTTTCTTTATTGGACTGCACACCCTATCTTTGTCTGTCTGTCTCTGATTGCCTTTTTCTTTTATGATCATTAATATACACAAATAAAGTGGTCTGTACTAAAAATGCAGTATGCCCCTATGCAACTGGTTAATAACTTGCGCTCTTAGAAACTGCATTCCATAAAATATGAGCTATACAAATATAAAGACCAGGAATGGATATATAATTGTAAGGGCTGTATTTTGTTTTTCTAAGAAGCATATGCATAGTGTTTTAGCATCTGATGTTGGAATAGAAGCCCTGTGAATACACAGAAAGCCCTAGGTAGAATCTGAAGTAATAAAAACATTACATTTTAAGAACTCTGTCTTTGTTAGTAATATGCCAACCGACTTGGTTGTCAGGCTCCTGATGTGGTTGGCAAACTACATAGTGTTTAATTTAACTGGTACTACAAAAATTTTTAGGACTGCTTTTTTGCAAGGCTGTTCTCACTGGAGTGTACCTGAAATCACTCCAGTGAAGAAAATTATTCGCAAATCAGGCACAAGTATGCTAGGAATTGACATACCAGTGTCTCCATGAGAAGCAAACACGAGCACAAGTCCTTCTGGCTTCAAAATCTTTGAGTAAGTTGCAGAAGTACTCCTGTGAGCAAAGGTAATAATATCAAAACAGGAGTAGGATCAAGGGTTCAATTTAATCCCCTGTAAACAAGCCTAGTCTGAGGTATGCCTTCATCTTGTAGGCTGGCCTTTCTGGATGGAGTTACACTTTTATCTCTCTGTTCCTGCTGTTCTTAGCTTAAGGCACACCCTGAACAAAGTTCACATAATATTGTCTGTAATTTCCAACTGTTGTGAACTGTGGGAGTGGCACTCTGCAGACTTTCACTTCATTGTTAAATACATGCTTTTCTCTAGCAGTGGGTGTGTCCTCTCAGTCACGTGCCTGTGAATATTGATAACAGAAAATCATACAGTAGCAATAATCCTCTTTTATAATTTTCTTGCTATGGCCAGGATTAGCTTATATTGACAAATGCAATGTGAAGACTTCTTCAGTAACAGCCTGAAGTAGCATAACTATTCATACACGCTGTGCCTTGTTAACCGATTTCTTTGTTGGAATACTTTACTGCTGATGAATAGCTACCTAGCACTAGTATGAGCTTTTGTGTGCATGCATAGACACTCTTCTATCAATACAGTCTTTCCCAATTTGCTACTTGTGATGTTTCTCACAAAAAGTTTGGCCAAACTGTGCATCATGCTGGTAAATAAACAACCTTTTCCATGTTAGCTATGTAAAATTTGCACAGATCTCTTAATGACAGGATTAATGACTAGGGTTATGCTACTCTGCTTTTGAAAGTTAGCAGACAAGAAATAGTTAATAGGAATTGCAAGGCAAACCTGTTCTTGGGAAAGAGAATAGCTTGAGAAAGAGAAATATGTGCTTCTAATAGCCTTCGCCATTATTATTTGCAAAGGTTGTGGGAAAGGAATCTGGGGCAGGGAGAAAATGTTGTACTCTTGCAGGTAAGCCTAGAGGCGAATAGTGGTGGTTCATTGGTCTGGTCTTCAGCAGAAGCCAGACTAATAATGGTAATAAGAAAGCGTCTTCTTAATTTTGTCTGACCATCCTGAGCTAACCTTCACAAATCTCTCTGTGGCTGAAAAGCAAGCAAGTTAAATAATATATTTGTGCATTCTAATAGGATGTTGAAAATCTGTCAGGCAGATGAATTTGCATTAGAGGCTGATTGTATTAATAACTAAACTTAGAGCCACAAACAGAAAGGGCATGATTTACAAATTTTAAAAATATTGATTTCAGTTAAATGGCATGGCGGAGAAAAAAGTGAGGGGGTTCTGCTTCTGCCTGTGTAAAGGGTCCCCCCCCCCCCTCTAATGAAGCAGAGCAACTGGTCTGTTAAGAGCATGTTGCAGAAAATAACTGAGCTAGTTCCCTAACTTAATATAACTTCCTGTTAAATTTCATTTTCTGGTTATTTCATTTGACACCCCTTGTCTCCCCCCCACAAACACATACATTCAAAATTCCATAGAAAGTTGAGTGTGTCAGTTTTGGAGGAAAGGAAAATGAAATGGGTGGGGAGAGAGTAGGAACTGACCTGCTGAAGCCCCACACAGCTTGCATCCTGGTTGTGGGGGAAACTCCCTGAACAATCCAGGGCAGTTTCAGGAGGGAGGGAAGAAAAAACGCCCACCTCTTCCCTTTCCCTAGAAACTTCCTCATTCTCCAATACAGTGCAAGGCAGGGTGGAGTGATTGGACTCAGGGCTAGCTCTGCATAGCAACGTAGGAGGGAAAGGTGTCAGGAATGTGGGAAAGGGGGAAAAAAACTCTACTTCTCTCTCTCCGCTCCCCTACAAATCCCAAATACTTGCTGGAACATTGAATGCTCTTGTCAGCAGCTGGGCATATAATGCACCATTTTTAGTTGCAGGTCCTCACTTCTTTGTTGTATTTCTGTCTTTAGAAGAATATAATTTTGGTTCTAAAATTAGACTTTTTGATACAATGGACAGTATTATATGCCAGTTGTATTCACCTGAGGAGGTGGGGGAGAGGCCTCCTTTAATTTTAGACTACATGTGTTGCCACAATGAAAGCTTGAACTCTACTGTCAGTGAGTGACAGTCAATTACATAAATGCACATAATAGTGTCCTATATAAATGTGTGTATGCAGTCTCTAAAGCCAAGTTTTACTTTTATTCCAGGTGGTCTCTTGTAATGTAATTGGAAATGCCTTTCATTTTATTGTCAGTATGCCCAATCCTTCTTCTGTTTCTTCATCTGTTACTTCGGAATGTCAGTCTTACAGTGTAAAACTGTCTCCACTTCATTTGCAGGTAATTTGTTTTGCTAAATTTTACCTATAGTTTTATTTATTTCTATTATTAGGTTAGCCCAGATAGTCTAGTAAGTGGAACTTTTGAAAAGTCCTCCTCGGGTTTAATATTGACTGCATTTGAAGAATTCTGCTAACCATGGTTTAGATGTGTAGGCTCAACCATTCCTCCCCCCCTTGCATGCAAAGCTTAAGTCATTACTTTCTTATTGAATCAAACCATAGTTTGCCAGTACATCTGAACTTAATAGCTGTAGTTTGACTGAACCCTCAGAACCAGGATTCTAAATATAAACAGATATGGAGACATTATGAAATGTTGTGTCCCTAATATGCAGTTAGTGACTGCTATGGCTCAGCTTTTAGCAAGCGTGAATTATAAATGATGGCAGGTTAAATTGATCTGATTGTTTATGGTTATCAGTGAATTGTGTGGGTGACTGGGCTCCCTTTGTGGTTATGGAAGGCAAAAAAAAATCTACAAGCACAAAAAAGCCAATGCAATTCTGGGCTGCATCAATAGGAGTATAGCATCTAGATCAAGGGAAGTAATAGTGCCACTGTATTCTGCTCTGGTCAGACCTCACCTGGAGTACTGTGTCCAGTTCTGGGCACCACAGTTCAAGAAGGACACTGACAAACTGGAACGTGTCCAGAGGAGGGCAACCAAAATGGTCAAAGGCCTGGAAACGATGCCTTATGAGGAACGGCTAAGGGAGCTGGGCATGTTTAGCCTGGAGAAGAGGAGGTTAAGGGGTGATATGATAGCCATGTTCAAATATATAAAAGGATGTCACATAGAGGAGGGAGAAAGGTTGTTTTCTGCTGCTCCAGAGAAGCGGACACGGAGCAATGGATCCAAACTACAAGAAAGAAGATTCCACCTAAACATTAGGAAGAACTTCCTGACAGTAAGAGCTGTTCAACAGTGGAATTTGCTGCCAAGGAGTGTGGTGGAGTCTCCTTCTTTGGAGGTCTTTAAGCAGAGGCTTGACAACCATATGTCAGGAGTGCTCTGATGGTGTTTCCTGCTTGGCAAGGGTTGGACTCGATGGCCCTTGTGGTCTCTTCCAACTCTATGATTCTATGATTCTATGATTCTAAAATATTCAGATTCTGACAATGGGAAATTCCCAGTACTTGCTTGATGAATTGCAACCATTGTGAATTGCTGGAAGAACTAGTAAAATTAGGGTACAAGATCTGTTAATGGGCAAAACTAAAATGGTAATGATATCGTATTTACAGCTGAAACTTTCAATGAAATCCAAAGAGGAAGACATTCAGGTCAAGTGGTCTTTCATCTGGACCTCAGAAACAAACACTGAAATTAAGCCTACTAAAGTACAGGAAGTAAGTCTGTTAGTATTTGCTTGTGTCTAGCACGATTTCCATCAAAACTACATGTTAAATTAATGATTATGTTTGCAGCAGCTTATGCAAATTTGATTCTAACTTTTTAAATAATTACTAATACCTTGATCTGACACCTAGAAAGACTTGCTTCCAAGGCAGCTTACTTAGGAGAGGATGTATAGCTGCAATCCATGGCATATTGGCTTGGAAGCATGGCTCTTTGAAATGATTCAAATTAAATGTTTAGGTGTCAGTTTTGCATGAGTAATTATAAGCCGCTGCTTCCAATGCTCACCTTTAATAATAGTCTACAGATATTTTAATATTTGCCTCACAGAGAACAGTGATTAACTCCACACACCCAACGAGACTTCTTTTACATTCCCCACCCCCTTTGAGGATTAGTTTCCTGCCCCACACACCAAGCTTGGAAGACTTAAAAGCACTTTGTGATGCAACAAAAAGGGCCGCTGTTTGCCCAAAATTGTGTACTGGGGGGATGTTATGGATGGCCTTCTCATCCTACAAGGGGTTTTTAAAAGCTCTCTCTTCTAAAAGTCAAGGTTGAGAGACCCCACCTGAGTGGCAGCATTTATGGGGGTCATGCTACTAAAATATCAGATAGGAGGCAGGATTGGATTTAGCTGCTGTGTCTCCCGCTGAATATTCAGAACTAGAAAAGGGGCACTAAAGCAAATACTGGTATTTAAGTTGTTGCAGTGCAACTTTTAGGGGTAAGAATAAGGAGGTTAGCAGAGGGGTGTACATGACTGAAGTATTGAAGAACAGTGTGTGTTCCAAGGGTGTTGACAACATGCATACATGACCTGTATCTTACCCTAGTCTTAGCTAAAGGTGATATTCTGTTGTCTTAGTCATTATCCACAGCTAAATGTTGCACATGGATCGGCATCTGCACAAAGGAATTGCTTTTTTAAAATAATGCAGAGAATTGTCAAGGTTGTTCAGAGTAAATGATGCCTTCTCCTTAAATAGTCATAATGCAGCATTATGACCACAGACCCTTCTTGGTGAGCGGTGTGGATCAGCAATTTTATTAATGACTTGTGGGGCCTTGCCAGGAAGCAAGATGCAAGCAAGAGATCAGTGTGATCTCTTGCTTGGATCTTGGCTGTTTTAGACTTGGCTTTTGACAAAGTTGCTCTAATTGAGTGCATCATGGCTTTACAAACTTTCTCTTTGCTGTAAGTAAGAGCATAGGAAAGGAGCTTATGTCTACACATATTTCCATTTTCCTGATGCAACTTAAGCCCAGAGAAGTGGAGCAAAAATCTGTTTTTGTTCAGTACAGTGCATGTAGAGCAATATAGCTGTGGTGTCTTTCGAAAGTGAACCAAGCTTCTGAATTTTACAAGCAGTGCAATGTATCAATGTATTCTTCCTTTTTAGGACCAGACAGCTGGGGCATGTGCAGTATCAGAAACACTTAAAGGTCTGCTGCGGTATCTCATAAATTCAGCATCTCCCTCTGTGATTCTGAGTACAAAACCTACAGATGTAAAGGCAGTGCAGGTATTTATCTATTTTTATTTTAAAGTCTGTTTTTATTTGTCACTGCTGTGCCTCCATCTTCATTAGTGCTGTGGTAAGTTATGACTCAGGGCTTTGGCTAAATCTATTTGTCCAGTTCACACATATGTATGACTGTTGGAAGTTAACTGATGTGAACATAAATTGCTTGGAGTTAATCTAAAACAATCTTATTTGTTTTGCTTCCTTTTAATAGAATGTACAAAAAACAGGTGTTGTGCCTCAGGGCACCAGTCCTCCTAAACCTCCAAGGGCTCATGAACTAAAACTGCTGATGAAAAACATCAAAGCTACACTGACAAATCAAAGCATTGCGGGTAAATAACTTGGTTTTACTTCCCTTTGTCCCCATATTATAATCTCTTAATTCTGCAAAAATAACAAGCAGTGGTCACAAATTATATCCCATAATTGCAGAGAAAGGCTTGGGCTTTGCCTCAGGGATACATGACTGGTTGAGATTTGGTTTATTCTTTTTCCTCTCTGAAGCTTCAGGATTTTGTATGTAGGGTGGAGAACTCTCACAAGGAGGCACATCGTATGGCAAGCTAACACCTCAAACAAATTGCTTTCTTTTCTTTTGAGTTGCAGTTCCATGTGTGGACTCCAGGCCCTTAGGAGACATTTCTCAACACTCTTGCCAAAATAAAATTCCCAGAGTTGCTTCTGAGGTTAGGAAAGAACTTGCCTTGCACTCTGAACACTGGGTGGCCTATACCCCACTGGGAAGCACCCCAGAGAGATGTGAACTTTCTCTTTTATGTAGAGTGAACTCTTCATTGATCTCTGTAATATGGGCCTTCTATAATAATACTTCTTAAAAATATTATTTTTAACTTCAGTAGAGAAAAATATTTCTCTCCAGCCATCCTTTTTCATACCTTACATTGCTCATATGTTTCTTCACTGATGACAGTATTTTAATAACTGAAACACTTTCTTCTGTTGTATTAACTAGAAGTGCCTTACACAACTCAAAACATCAGAACAGCCAAAAGGTATAGGTGGCATTACATTATGTGTGCTGTGAACTGTGCAGCCTGTTTACGAGAAGCTGACTTAAAAACTTGCCCATCAGGTTTTGTAAGGTTCTACAAGTCTATGCTTGCTTGTTTCCCTAACTTCAGGGCAGGCCAGAGTTAAGGGTAGAGATCTTCACCTTGCCTTTGCATACTGTTTTTAACTGATTGTTACCCCTATTTTCCAAATCTTGGCCGAATTTGGATGATAATTGATCTTGGAGCAGTATAGTCTTTGACAGTCTTGCTTTTGTTGTGATTTGAATCATGGTTTGGTTGTATTTTTCCTAAGGAAGACCTAGATGAATGGCTAATAGGCTCTTTGAGTCTCCTGAGCAGCTTTCAAACATTAAAACAGTTTTTTTTAGCATACATCTAAAATTGCATTTCTGGCTACTAAGGGCTTGAATCAAAAGGGAAATGGAGGCTTTTGTTTTGAAAATAATCTGTATTTGCCACTGTGCACACAGAACATTCCCCTGCCCAAAGATGGAGTGATTAAGCTTCTGCTCACAGGAACCTTCCCGAGTTCCTAACTTCATTCTTGTAACTTTGCTTCTGCTTTGTTGTCATGTAGATAACAGACCTTGCACTGCTAGCCATGTTGGTACAGGTTATACTTCTCACACAACTCCCAAAGGGTTTCTTGGATGAGGTCTCCTGCCAGTAGTTCACTCAAATGTGAAAAGCATAAAGAGGTACCTTAAGCAATTCTCACTTGAAACAAACTCCTCATCTTTTACCTTCATTGCAGGTGGCATTAGCCCAGTATGTATAATCCAGCTCAATGACCCTTTGCAGAAGTTTTCAAGCTCTGCAGCCAATAGTCCCATGGACTTCTCTTGGAAAGATGAATTCATCTTGTAAGTTCTGATTTTAATAACACTATAATAAGCACAGTGGGAAATGTTACACCTTCTATTATCCTCCAGATGTCACTATGGGGCAGGGGAAAATCCTATCTGCTAAGCATTCATAAGTTATCATATTTCCTAAATATTCTAGTGCCAATGCTTGGGGACAGGGCGGGGGAAGTCTTAGTAGCTGTTTGTTTTAAACAAACATGGGTGGCTCTTGGGTTGTCCAGTGAAGAGCGATTAAATGAGAGAGGTTGTAGTTTCTTAATTGTTAGCAGCTTAATACATTTTCAGTATTACTGAAGACAATACAGTGGTCTTACCAAATAAGTTCTTTTTTTACTTTTTGGGAAATTTGATATACTGCAATAAGTGAGGTGTGTGGAGAGGTAAGTTTTTTATTTTTCTTGCAAGGTTCTTATACCTTTTAGCAGTTATTTTGGCAGACAGGAATCCACCTTGTGAAACTTTCCAGGATGTGGATAGGCTGTAGTCAGTAATCTATATTGCAAAATATGAAACTATATGACAGTTCTAAAATGCTTTTTTTCTGTTCACAGTGAATTAAATGCCAAATCAAAAGAACTGCAAGTAAAGATTGTAGAAAAAGGGGGACTGGATAGTAAGTATTGCAGATAAATTCATTTTATGTGTCTAATCTTTTATTTCTGCAACAACAATCTAATAGGATGCTGATCTACTAGTGGATTCATGTACAGATAGATTTCAATGCATTTCTTTTCTTTTCAATGTAGGTGGTTTCTCAGCTGTGGCTGCTGTACCTTTGGACTTGTTCAGGAGACAGCCTTCTGGACACAAAGGTTTTGCACTGAACAGTCAGCTCGGCAGTAGTAGCTCTACTGTAGGATCTGTTACTGCAGAGGTAGAATTTTAAGTTTATAAGCTGGCTTCTCGAACTAGTTTTTTCCTTCTGACCCAACCAGTTTTAATCAGCTCCCAACTCCTTGCTTTCAGGCAGCTATTGAAAACGAATGGCTTTCCCTGAAATATGACTCAGGTGTATACTCAATTTGCATAATTTGGTGCTTTGGAAACATTTCATAGGATCATAGAATTATTGAGTTGGAAGGGACCACAAGGGTTCTCTAGTCCAACACAGTTTATAAATTCTTTTAGTAAATGGTAGACATGTATACCCTGCAAAATAGCTAACGATAATGCAAAAATTACTCTTTTTATGTACATGATTTCCAAAAATCAGTGGGACTGTGGTGTCATACATTGCAGGTTTTCCCCTTACATGTGGCCTATCCAAATTTTATCACCAATTTATCGCTACTGAACTGTCCTTAATTGAATTTTAAAATCCTAACTATTTTTCTTCTTTAGTTCTTATACATAGAACCTTCAGAGTCCAGAACTTTGCAAGTTCCCCCCAAGATTCCTGTTGCAAAAGTAGAGAAAGATCGAACTGTGATGCCTTGTGGGACTGTGATCACTACTGTTACTGCTGTGAAAGCCAAGCCTTTAATAGAAGGGAGACCATCTATTCTGCATTCAGGTGAAAGAATAGAACACAACTTTGGATTGCTCCCAAAGCTTGACTAAAAAAAAAAAGCAATTCTTTGGTACATTTTAAAGTTGTATGAAAGGCAGGTAATAAATTATCTAATTATCTGTGGCTCTGGTACATGATGATGTCACACAAGGTTGGTTCCTGTACCAGTATAGCCTGCTACTGAGTTCTGCAAATAGCTGCATAAGTTCAAAAATTCATACACTTTATCATCTAGCCAATTACTTTAAGTACATATGCCAGCATGTGTAAATACTGAAATATTGTTGAAAACAAGGAATTAATGTGGAAAAAGATTGCAGCTTTTTTCATATCCTTTCAGGAAGTGATGGGTACAAGGAGTAAAAATTTCAAAAATGTTGTAAGAAGCTGCTAACATAAGAATTTCCATAAGGTTTATTTTCTTAATTTTTGTGCGTGGATAGCTTCACCAAGTATTACCAAGTTGGCACAACTGGTGCTGTTGTCCTGGCGCTAAATGAATGCTGCATAATGGAGCGAGAGAAGCGGGGGGAGCACCAAATTTTGGAGTCACACAGGGAGCAGCTGAAATTTGAGAGCCTAAATTCCACCACTGACCAAGCACTTACCTTTATACTTAAGAGATGCATTTTGAACAGTCCTTGGAAATGAATGAGAAGTTAGAAATGTATTGGTGACCAGATGAAAGGCAGGCTGCCATCAGGGGACTTGGAAACTTAAAAGACATCTGCAATACATTCTTTCGTGTGTGTGTGTGTGTGTGTGTGTGTATGTGTGTGTGTGTGTGTTAGCTATATTGTAGCACAGACAAGAAAACAGAGAAGGTCTGCAGCATGTGTTCAACTTTAGAACCATTTGTTTTCTTTAGTCCTGAGACTATATTCACACACACACACACACACATGATTGAATGTCCAAGTAATAAAATCCTATTGCAGCAATGAAGAAGATGGATTGTTACTTTTACTAATTTATGAGACGTCTGTTTAAAATCTGCCATGTCAGTCCTTCAGCCTGCAAGTGGAGAGATCCACCATGCATGAATTATAAATTTACTATAGCATAAAAGGCATCTGTGCAATGTAACTCTAGGCTCACTTTCATAATAAGTGTGATTTTTTTACAGTGAGAAAGTGCTAACACTAGCTGACTGGCTTGAATCACAATAAAATTAATCTGGCTTGCACTTTTCACAAATTGTCAAGAATGTCCAGTTCTGTGCCTATTGAACTCGTGTCCTGCTTTTGCATCCATGACCTAGTGAGGTAGCTTTTAAAATGTGCCAAAAAATATATAGAAACTCCAAAAATGAAGACCAGAATGGTTAAAGTGCTGGTCTGTGAGCCGTTCCAATATATGTACCTGTTTTACCCAGCAAGACTGTTACCAGTTTTGGTGAAAGGATTTTGGAAGGGAGAAATGTCATGGGAGGGAAGAATTAAAAAAGCACTTCCTAGTGTTTAGACTCAATCTGGAAATCCCCAGAGCTGTTTTTAAGGGTTTTGTTGTTGTTGTTTTTGTTGTTTTTTTTAAGTTGCCAGTAGATTGAATCATGGAACTTGCATGTCTTGCCTAGTAGACCTTTATTAAGGAATATATTTTGAAATATGCAGATGAGAAAATAACTGATACTGTGTGTATTAGATTCACCAATCCGAAGTCCTGTTAGAACGAAGGTGATTGAAAAGGATTTGTCTGTTCAGGCAATCCATTGCCGGAATACTTCTTCAGTAAGCAAGGCTTTATCATCATCAGATACTGGTAAGTTATGGCTAAGAGAACTGGGCTATGGTTGTAAGGCAGCTCCTTACCTGATGCATCATCATGTAAACCTTATGTCTTGTTTTACTTGTGCAAAGGCTCACAGAGACCTTTAAAAATATTAACATGTAAATAAATAGCATTAAGTTTGAAAGTTGGTCTGTCTCTATAGACACAACTCAAACATAAGGGTCATAGCTGAATTATTATTATTCATTATTTATATCACCCTTCACCTGAGGATCACAGGATGGTTTACAATATAAAAACACAAAAATACGTAACATAGTAACAAACAAAAACAATACCCTCCCTCCCCATTTAAAAGGCCATAAATCGGCTAATTAAACAAAGGCCTGGGAGAAGAGGAATGTTTTTGCCTGGCACTAGAAAAATGTAACAAAGGTGCCAGGTGAGCCTGCCTGGGGAGAGCATTGCACAGACAGGGAGCCACCACAGAAAAGGCCTGTTTTCGTGTTGCTGCCCTCCATATCTTTCACAGAGGGGATACATGAAGAAGGGCCTCTGATGATGATTGCAGGTTTCGGGCTGGTTCATATGGGGAGAGGCAGTCCTTGAGGAATTGCAGTCCTGAGCCGTTTAAGGCTTTATAGGTCGAAACCAGCATTTTAGTGGAGTGCACTGGAAAAAATATTGGTAAATCAAGGCTTGGTTTACATAACTGGCTTTCTACTAGATTCCTGCTTTGATTCTTTGTGTCTTCAGTTGTTGCCTGCATCTTGTCTGCATCTTGTCATTCTCTTAATCACATTCTTTTCAGAGCTGCTGGTGCTGAATGGCACAGATCCTGTGGCTGAGGTAGCCATTCGGCAACTAAGTGAATCTGCAAAGCAAAAACTCAAGTCTCCCAGGAAGAAAAGCACGATCATAATATCAGGGGTGTCAAAGGTAAGATCAATCAGCATCCCCTGAACCCCACCCTTTGCATAATTTCCCCCCCTCCTAGAATTTACTTTTAAAACTAAATAAATTTCTTGCTAAAAGAGCAGAATAACAAAAAAATCCCCCAAGGGTTTGGACATGCCTAGAACAGCTCCTCGGTTCCTATACGTTTTTCTCAACCAGTTTTATCTCTGCATCTCTTTTGTTTTACTGTTCCAGACTAATTTATCTCAGGATACTGAAGCTGCACTCATGATGGACTATGCGGCAGCCATGGATGGCTCCTATAAGCAAGATGAGTCTTCCAGTGTAGAAGGGTCTCTTGCACAGTCTCCTTCCAATGAAAAACTCTCACTGTATGTATCCCAAACAATACCTGCCCATGAAGATCCCCAGGAAAACAGCCATGATGCCTGGACTTTAGATGACAGTAGCGAACAATGGCAGAGCAATGCACTACTAGACCAAGACTGTGATAAGATGTCTGGGAGCTCCATAAGCATCTCGGAACCTGGAACTGTGAAGAAATCCAAAGGTAATGGGATTTCTCTTGGAGCTTTTTTTTTTAATAAAATAAAATTATGAGCACACTTTTTAAGCAGTTTCATGACCTTTTCATAATTAATTCTACATATAAACTTGTTTAAGAACACCAACTTTTCCCCTATTCTAGTTAATGTGTCTGCATTTATTCATCTCTCTGCCTTAGTAATTGGGTGCCTCATTCAAAAGTGGTACCCTTGAGAAAGTAGTTTTGGCAAAAAGTATCTACGTAAAAGGGCTTCTAAAGAACGATGTACTCAGCTCTATATTTATTGCTTGTTTTATATCATTTTATTTATGAAACATATCCTGTCCTTCCTTCCAAAGCAGACCAGGGCAGCAAAGTGTTTAGACTTTTTATAAGTTTTCTATAATTGCAAGAATTGCAATGAGCAATTCTTGTAAAACATCCACATATTACTTTAGTTTCCGTTGTACTTCAATAATTCATTCATGTTATACCATCTTTATTTTTCTTACTTAAAAAAACCCAGCTTTAATATATCCTAAATAAAGGTGTTCAAGCACTTTAATAAGAGCTGTTGCACACTACCCAATTAGTAAGTACATCATGTGTACTTGTGCAGTGTGTACTGGTAGCATACCCTGTAACATAAGAGATGGCTATATGTTCTCTCTCTTTTAAATTATGCTCAATCTATGAATATAAACTACAGTGGTACCTCGGGTTAAGAACTTAATTCGTTCTGGAGGTCCGTTCTTAACCTGAAACTGTTCTTAACCTGAGGTACCACTTTAGCTAATGGGGCCTCCCGCTGCCGCCCCGCCGCTAGAGCACGATTTCTGTTCTCATCCTGAAGCAAAGTTCTTAACTCGAGGCACTATTTCTGTGGGTGGTGGGACGCGGGTGGCGCTGTGGGTTAAACCACAAAGCCTAGGACTTGCCGATCAGAAGGTCGGCGGTTCGAATCCCCGCGATGGTGTGAGCTCCCATTGCTCGGTCCCTGCTCCTGCCAACCTAGCACTTCGAAAGCACATCAAAGTGCAAGTAGATAAATAGGTACCACTTTGGCGGGAAGGTAAACGGCATTTCCATGCGCTGCTCTGGTTCTGTACGCCGGTTCCTTCGGCCAATAAAGCAAGATGAGTGCCACAACACCAGAGTCGGTCACGACTGGACCTAATGGTCAGGGGTCCCTTTACCTTTACCTTTACCTTACTATTTCTGGGTTAGCAGAGTCTGTAACCTGAAGCATCTGTAACCTAAGGTACCACTGTACTGTCAGCAAAACTAACTACAGTTCCCCCCAATGCATACAGACAACCCAAGGCAAGTCCTGTGACACTTTAATTGAAAGTGGTGAGTTTGTACAACTTGGTATGTGAAGCAGCTCTAAGAGCGCCACGTGCAAAAGTATGACTTCTTATATGCAGTGCTTTTTTTCTTTAAAATTGTTTAGGGGTACACTCATTTTGACTCAAGAGTATCACCATTTTGTAGTTCAAATTGGGAAAAAGAAATACAGTAAATTGACAAAAGTACAAAGATTCACAAAATGTTTAGGGGTATGTATACCCCTGCGTCCCCCCAGGAAAAAGCACTGGTTATATGAATTCTAAATTTGGTAGAAAAAAATGGGGTGCTCTTTAAAAATGCAATAGTGTGACAGCCTTACAGTGTGGGTGGTGGTTCTTTTTAATCTTAGTTTGAGAAGTTCAAGAGCAGGGATTTTTAAAAATGGAAAATTAGGGTATTTTATATATATATAAGGAAGACATATATATAAAGCACAACTTCAGGTTCTCAGCCATTGTTACCAAACTCAGTATAACTTGGAACTTGCATATTTTGACTCTTCATTGTATTTACCTCCTTACCTATATTTCTGACTCCAAATTTCTTACCTATTCTCTTTGTAAACATAAGTGGACCACTATGCCAACCAGAATTAATTGCCTACACAGTAAGTTATCTGTCTTGATGTTTTTGAGAGTGTGTAGCTTTACTGTGAGACACTTAATATAACTTGAATAACCTTTTACTTAAAAAAGAAAACCAAACCAAGAACATTTCACCTGTTTCTTTCATGGCTATACTGATTACCCCTCCGAAAGGTGTCTGTAGACATAACCATTAATATAGGTTGTATCTCTAGCTTAGTTGGTACACCTGTTAGTCTGTGTGAATGAATTTTCCTTAAGACAACTGGAGAAATTGTCTTTCCTCTGCTTGCTGCTTTTGCCCTCTTCACCTAAAGCCCTTCCTCCCTGCCATCTAGGCTCAGGTATCAGAAGTAGGCCCAGCCAGAAGAAAAGCTTCTGTGAAAAATAGTTGCAGACGGAAGGCAGTGAGTGGGGAGAGAATTCAGCACCCTTTGCCTGCATGTTCCTTTGGTGCTTTAAATCTCACCCACTCTCTGCAGAAGTGATTGGGGCAGAAGCAAGCTGCATTAGAAGACAAAAGGACTGTCACATATCATTTCAAGTCACTTGCAAAGCACTTGTCATTCTGAGCTGCAATGCACAGAATCTAGTCCGTTTGGAGCTAGAATTCATTAACTGTGGAAATATAACGCTCATGCATGGAGGTGCTTTGAAAGAGAACATTTTCTCTCAAAGCCAAGCTCTCTGTAACGTGTTACAAACTTAGTTCTTGTATCAAGAGTACAAAAGAGGTGTGTGTGCATAGTAATAGCCACTTCCCCCATCTTAAAAATAAAACTAAAAAGGAATTGGCCTCCCGGATGTACTTTGAAAGGGAAGTGGTTCTTTGCATATGTGTGTGTATGCCTTCACGTCTACTGCGATAAGAAAATATTTTGTACTCTGCAAATTTTAGTATCCAAAGAAGCCCAAAAGTCATTCTGCACTACAGATGTGAAGGCTCCTCCTGCTGGATAGGACCACTTTCTCACTGTGCTCACAGAACCTTTCTTTGCATGACTTGGCTTTCTGGAATATACCCTTTATGCATTTGTAGTCAGTACTTAATTTATGAGTATAGAGGTGCTTATTCCTGAGCTTGCTGGATGCTACGCCCTTTGCCATGAAAGCTCCTCTTTCCAGTCCCAGATGTGTTTGGCTTGGTTGTGATTGGTTCGCACTGAGGAGAAAGTACCCTGCTCTGCGCGCTCCATGCTCTGTAACCCTGACAAGTGGGATAGATACATTTTTTAAATAGTGGATGGTGGGAGTGCATGGCAGCTGCTCCTCCCACAAACCCACCTTACAAGAGATTATACTTTCTTGTTGCCTGGAATGAGCTGGCTGGATATTTTAACTGCAGGTGGCTTGATGGGACATCATACAACTTTAGCAAAGGAAGTAGCTGCTTTCTATATCACAAATGGGTGCCACAGACAACAGCAGGCATTGTGTGTGTGCATGCATAGCTGGGCTCCTGTGTTGCATGTTGGCACTAAGCATTGCAGCATTTGTTTGAGTAGTCAGTTACCTGGTACCGGGTAGAGTGGGCAGCTAGTGTTGAGCTGTTGTGTGTCACATGAGGGGTGTGTGCCATGTGGTTTGCCCTTTGCCCCTTAAATTAGCCATCTACACTCAAGTGCAGTGGAGGGGAAGGCAAGTGCATCAACCTGTCCTTTGCCTGAGACAGAAAAATGTATTTGGCCAGTCATGCCGAAAACTTAAATTCCAGCAGCACAGAGTAAACCCTGTTGTTGCCTAGGAATCTATAAAGTGAGATTGCTAGATATGATACAACAAAGAGGCTTTTAACATCATGTGACTTATTTGTCTGCAGGTTCCCCCAAATTAAAGGTGGTAGCATAATCATTTGCTTTGTTTTAAGACCTCTAAAGCTAATGGCCCCTGATGTTCAGGTTCTTAGTGCTATTGATCAGTACTACGGATGGGAAACTGCACCAATACTTGCATTGTAGTTGGAGGGAAAGGGGGAAGGAGGAGTATAAACTGATTTTCTGAAGCCTGACCAATCAGGGGGCTTATAAAAACTAGTGTTGTCACCTGCCTAGTCTGAAATTGGATTGACCATTTATTTACTTCTCTAATTCTTTGTCATTTTTAGCATGCATTTTGGTAAAAATTATTGCACACAGTTAACATGAATCAACATGTGCAAAACAAGCAATTGCTTTGAAGGGAGCTGTCCTCTGAGGTGGCAGTTGTAAACTATGCTAGACTGGGGCCGTAAATCTCCCTGGCACTTAACAGTGTGGAATAACCTGTTTGCAAAATTTAGCATTAACACACTAAGTCAAAAGAATCCTTCATTTAGAATCGTAGCTTCATTTTGTGCTAGTTACATACCCGCTTAGCCTCTTTGCACAATCCCATACAATAAAAATAATGCAACTTTCAACATATCATTGCACTGATTTCTTTTCCACACTCATCTTATACTTACTTTCTATACCTGAAGGATTAAATACATTATAGAAATAAAATAAACCTGAAAATTTCATTTCTTGAAAGTAGCTATGGACACCTATGCCAGATACCCTGACCTTTTTTAAAAAAGCAGTTGGTAAAATTGCTATCAAATGTTTTGCTGACTTCATAAACTAGAGTAAATAAAGCATCAGTTCCATTTCTCTCTATAATAGCCATCCAGCCCTAAGCAGCTGTACACTGAAGTAAGAGTGGGTCTTGTTTTGTGGTTTAATATGTTTATCATTGTAGTTTGTCACTAAGGGAATGATCCCCATAAAGCTAAGCACTCTAAATTCTTACCGTAATTTCATAAGGAGAGTGAAGAACTTTAATTCTCCTATCTGAACCTTGAAGTTGAATGTCAGGAAGACTAGGCCTATGGGTGATACCCAACTAAGTTGTACTTGGAGAAGATACACTGAAAATCAATGGAATTTATTTTCAGTCCATTTATTTCAGTGGGTCTGATTTTGAGTATGACTTAGTTGGATATCACTGTCTGTCTCTAAGCAACTTAACTGAGGCTCCTTGCTATACAGAGTGCTTTTCTTTGACTTTTCTACTTACCTATAGTTGTATAAAAATTACATTGGCATGAAGAGATTTAAATGTGTATACTTCTCGATAAGCCTTTCTAATAAGTGTACACCTTCTAATATATACTTTTATGGAAAATCAAAGGCTTGATGCCCTTATTCTCAGGGATGATCCTAAAGTGATACAGCTGAATTCTTACACTTTACATAATTGTCAGACAAACCGCTACCAAAATATTTGGGGTTGTTGTTGTTTAGTCGTTTAGTCGTGTTTGACTCTTTTTGACCCCATGGACCAGAGCACGCCAGGTACTCCTGTCTTCCACTGCCTCCTGCAGTTTGGTCAAACTCATGCTGGTAGCTTCGAGAACACTATCCAACCATCTCGTCCTCTGTTGTCCCCTTCTCCTTGTGCCCTCCATCTTTCCCAACATCAGGGTCTTTTCCAGGGAGTCTTCTCTTCTCATAAGGTGGCCAAAGTATTGGAGTCTCAGCTTCAGGATCTGTCCTTCCAGTGAGCACTCAGGGCTGATTTCCTTCAGAATGGATAGGTTTGATCTTCTTGCAGTCCATGGGACTCTCAGGAGTCTCCTCCAGCACCATAATTCAAAAGCATCCATTCTTGGGCGATCAGCCTTCTTTATGGTCCAGCTCTCACTTCCATACATCACTACTGGGAAAACCATAGCTTTAACTATTTGGACCTTTGTTGGCAAGGTGACGTCTCTGCAATATTTGGGGTAGTTTCCAGTAATGATGTAGTGTTAGCAATGTGAGCTATGAGCAAGCTCTCCAGATTCCATAAAGACCCTGAGCTATGACTAAATGGCAATAGGAAAATCACCATATTGGCCTTAGCGCCCTCCCCTGAGAGAATAGTGATTCACCTAATAGGGTTGTTGTGGATGATTGAAATAAATTACAGTAAATACTCAGAGCTATATAAATGCTCAGTACTACTATTGGTATTCTAGCACATCTACTAAAATATATAATTAGGACTATGGTTTCTGCTTCTGTTTTAAAAAAAGAAAGTCAATGACTAAAAAAGAAAAGAGAAATTGGATTGAAAGTGGGGCAGGTGTTACTATTTCAAATAAAGGCTACTAAATACAGAAATCGTATCCTACTAAAATGTTTCACATCTTCCCTATTGCAGGTGGGCTATTAAAAAAGAGTGCAAAGCTATTTTTCCTCCGACGGCACCATCAAAAAGACCCAGGAATGAGCCAGTCACATAATGACCTCATCTACCTAGAGCAACCCACATCGGACGGTACTCGAAAAAAGGGGGGGACTTTAACACGCATTTTGAACAAGAAAATTCTCTTCAAGAGCAAGAGCAAGAGCAAACTGAATGGCACATCAGTTGAACCGTATGCATAGAGCCTAGTACATGCCAAATGTATATGACCTGCACATGAGCAACTGTTTACAGAAATATAAACTATTATATGCTTACTGAGATTCACTAATGCTGTGGTCCATGGAAAAGGCTGGGCAGCAAAGCAGGGACATGGTATTGGTAGAAGACTTATGGCTATTTTACATTACAAAGACTAAGGCCTTAGTCCTAACCATACTTACTTGGAAGTAAGCGCATTGAAATCAGCAGGCCTTAGTCCAAAAACACTTCTTTTTAGATATCAGGCTTAAAATACAGTACCAGGGAGCTATAGTGGACAATTGTCTGCATGAATGTATGTTAATAGTGGCATATCATGGTTCTGTTTTAAAGGAAAAGCAATGAAGAGTAGCAATACAAATTTTAAACAGGGTATCGAGCTGTAGAAGTGGAAAGAGCAAAGAAATCCTGATCCAGATGTTCTGAAGTAGAATACATGCATTTGCAATGCAATCTTGTATATAATTACTCAGAAGCGATTCCTGCAGTATGCAGAGGCGCTTAATCCCAGGTGCAGAGAATTGCAGCCTCAGAATGTTACTGGAAGGAAAAATGAAATGCTGAATGGGGTAGCCTGATAGAATAATAATAATTGCTAAAGCTGTGTAAATTAGACTTGCTTTTGATAGATAGTAGCCATACAAACTTGTAATTTATGCAATTATTATGACTCTTAATTTTAATATTATGTGCATATACTATGAAAAAACTTTTATTTTTAAGATGGTATGCTGATAAATGACTTAAAACTTATCTGTTATCCTTTGAGAGATCTGCATTGCCAGTGCAGCACTGTAGTACGGGGAACCCACCATTTGTTAGACAAATGTACCCCATCATAACAAAAGTAATGAATGACAATACAGTATGTTTAGTCTTTTTTCTTTCTCATTCCCATTTTGGAACTAAATACACACATTGAGGGATGTATGTATTTCAGTATTGAAATAGTTTGCTGTTTAGAATATCAACAAGGCTGGGGAAACCTTTACTGACTGGTAGGCAAGGGAAACATAATACATGTGTATAGCTTTAAACTGACATTCGTATTATATATATTTTTTACTGAAATTGTAAACGTTAGCCTATTTTAATCATTCTGACTTCATTGGGACTTACTTTGGAACAGGTGGCTTGATTGAAGTAAACAATCAACCCTTGTTAACTTTTATTCAGGCGAAACCTATACCAATACCACTGCTGCTTATAACCACTGAATCAAGAGAGATCATTGGGATAAGGGATACTGTTTCTGATATATGCATTAGTGATTTACATAAGTTATAATGATGGTTTGGATGCAGCATTCTAAAGGCCAATATGCAAAAGAAGGCTGTTGAGGTGAAGCAACAGTTTCCAGTATGTTGGGCAAATGCTAGCTTCTAATATGAAAGCTTATTATAGATTGACTGTTAAGAGTATTAACTTATAAAAATGAAATATTTGTGTATAAGCTCCATGTGATCTTAGTTAACGCTTTCTTGGAGGTAAGGCCCATTTCATAATGGATGGGGCTTGCTTCCATGTAAATGAATTTAGGATGGATTGCAAATGCATTCAGTTATGATTTTGCTTTATTGTATAGCTTGACAATGGCACATAAGTGGAATGAAATGCAAAACTGTTTTTAGAAAGAGAAGCACTTGTTGCTCTAACTTACAAATACTTGAAGACATTTAAAAACTATTTGAAAACCTTAAAGCTCTGTTGCTGGATTTTTTTTAAAAAATGCCAAAGGTGCATTGTGTGGCTTCTTCATTACTGCATGCTGCCTTTTACATATCCCCACCCCCACTTCCATTTTGTTTTTAGCAGCCCAAAGGCAAAGATGCAGCCTGCCTTTTTCCACTGGTTAATAGGGAGGGGGTTGCTGTTTTGCAGTACACGTAACTTGCAACTTACACACTTTTAACATGTGCAGTTTCAACTTTTTGCAGTTGAAGGCCAGCTGGTTGGAATCGTACAAATTAAATGCACAGAAGGCAGAGATTTTAAGTTCCCATACTTGTTTACTTGGCTCTCAGAGGCTCTCTTGAGAGGCAGTTCTAAGAGGGTGCTTTGAGTATGTCAGGGGTGGGTTGTGCCTATGCACCATCTCCTCACATAAGCTGTGAGTTACTTGTATTTTTAAACAGCTCTTTTGTGCAGAACTGCCCTTGCACAAAACAGCTATGGTTAAAAAAACAACTGCCCTTGCAGCTCCAGAATCACGAAAGCAAAAGTGGAGAAAGGAAGCAACATACTTCCACGTGAGGGACTCCAAATCCTTACCTTGCTTGGAGTAGCTTACATTTATTTGACTGCTCATTTATGCAAACAGTGGGTTAAATTTGTTACTATCATAATCCACCTGGGCCCTTGGGGTGAAGAGTGGGCAGTCATGCAAATAATACACTGGAAAACTTGATTCAAAAAAGACTTAAAAGGGGTGTGTGCACACAAGTGCCTGTCCACATGTCCACAAGGGACCATCAGGCTTCCAGAACTTAAGGTAGGTGAAGTACTAATTGAGAGTTGAGGGGAGGGAACAACACAGTGTGAATACAACCTTGTTGTTGGCATCTGTTTTGAGACACAATGGAGTGTGTCTCATGGGGTGAAGTCAAATCAATGTGTTAACAGCACCAAAGTGACCTCCCTGGAGTGCAAGCCTGGGCAGTGTGGATACAACCATCTCACTTGTTGGATTATCCCACCCCAATACTGGTTTGCACTCTGGTTTGTGCTCATGAGTAGACAAAGGTCCATGAATGCTCATATGGGAACTGACCTAGGAATGTATTAACACACTAAGTGTGGACCCAGCTTAGCTGAAAGAAGCAAGTTATCAACCTTTTCTGCTCAGCTTGCATTGCAAGTAAAAAAAGAAAAGAGCAGTACCTATCTCCCATTGCAAAGGGGTCTAGAAGACTCTTTGGAAAAACTCTGGAAGATTTTGTCAAAATATTTTAATAACATACAGGGCACCTCACACCAAAATGTATGAAGCTTCTGTATTCTAAACTGCTGCGTCCCCCCGCCCCCCCCCCACCTGTATATTGCTTTGTCTGGTGTGGTATAATTTTCCCAGTCACCTTAAGGATGGGCAGAGAAATCCTAACGGGGGTGGGGGTGGGCACAATTTGAGTGGTAGAGCCACTGGCAGTGAATGCTCTGCTGATTCCAGCTACTCTGGATGGAATTTAAAGGCCTGTTTTAAGAGAGAAATTTAACTGTTCTGGTAAAACGCAAGCAGTGAAGGAGCCAGACGAAACTTTCAGGGGAGGGCGTCCTCCCCAAGAGAATATTATCTACGCCTAATACCTGAAAGAACGGAGAAAAGGGATGCTGCGGGTGTGTGAGGTGTGCGTTTTTGGGCAGGATGAAATAGACGAAGGCGGTAGGTCCCTCAACTAACCTAAACCCGAGCCTTTGGCATTAATGAAGGTCAACACCAGCACTGTTGATTGCTCTCAGAATAAGCTGGTACCCCTAATAAGTGGAACCCAACGTCTCATCCTCCCCTAAACATCTATCTCTGACACGTTGAACCATTCGGACGCGCAACCTTCCATGTGCATTAATTCCGACGCGGTTATGGAGCCCTGCAAAAGGTTGCGCTACGTCTCCTTCCTGAATGTCACCCAGCACTTCGTTGCCTTTTAAAAAAACCACAAAAACTGCACGGCATGTTTTTCAGAAGTGAGTCCCTCGTCGGTTCCAGGGGAGGCCACTCTGTCCACCCGCTGCAAATCGAGAGGGTGGCAACTAACACCGCATAACCGAAACTGTAATCCTGGGCAGGTGCCAGGATTTCACCCGTGCTCAGCTGTGCCAGGCGGTGGCGCGCATGTGCGCGTGTCACACAGAGCTGTCCATCCTCCCTCTACACTCCTCCCTTGGCTGCTGCCGTTGCCATAGAACTTCTGCCCTCTCCTCTTCTTCGCACAAAGCGGCTCAGCAGAAGCTCGGAGGCCCCTCTCTCCATCCACCGCGCCCGTCCGCCCTGGTTTCACCGCCGCCGCGCCATTCTCCACTCCACCCCCGACTCCCTGAACTACGATTCCCATGGTGCCCCGCGAACAACCAAGCTCCAGCTTCCGGTGGCGCGTGGTTTCCGGCTCGGATCGGAACCTGGAGCCCGGATTCGATCCGGGTGTGAACATTCCAAAAGCAGGTAAGGCAGCCCCCCTCCCCCACCCTCCCGCCTCGCCGCGCGCCGCCCCCTCGCCCCCCCGCGCGGGGACCCTGGGCCGGCGGGCCCCCTCTGGCGCGCGCGGGGCGCATCTCGGGGAGGCGCGGCGCGGCCCCGGCAGCGGCCGCGGCGCCGCCTGCTGCTCCCTCCCCTCCGTCCCGCTCTCCTCCTCCACGCCGCCTGTTCTTTGTTACAGGCAGGAGCCGCCTGCGGCCGCGCGGCGTGGAGGGGGCGAGGCGGGTCCGAGGCAAAACCCGGCGGAGCCGCTCCCGGATCCCCAGCCCAACCCAGGCAGCCGCCCGCCCGCCCGCCCGCCCCGTGCGGGCAAGGCTCGCCTGGCGCCTCCGCCGCCCTGGGCTGCGCTTCTCTCCCGCCCCGCGCCCTTTCCTCCTTTCCCCTCCAACCCGGACCGGACCTGGGTGGGGCAGCCCCTGTACTCGGGGAGGCAGCGCGGGCGGGCGGTGCACCCCGAGAGGCAAGGCTCGGGCTCGCCCTGGGGCTGGGAAGCGGAGGGCTTCGGCTTGCCCGGGGGCAGGACAAAGCGCCCTCCCTCCCCCGCCGTGCCTGCGCCTGGTGCGCGGCTGGAGAAGGGCAGGGCAGGCGCCGCTCTTGCGAAGGGGGCGTGTGGAGGTGGCCTGCTCCACGGACTGCAGCCACTCGGAGAGGTGCGGGACTCTCGCCTTAAAATCCGCAGATTGTGCCCCCTCTCTGGCGCCCGCTTGGTCCTTTTGTGCCACATGTACAAGGTCACACACACACGCGCGGACCTTGGGGAAATTCGGCATATCTGGCACGTCCTGTTCTTGCAGTCGCGTTTTCTCAATGCATTGAAACAATGTGGGTTTCTTTAAAATAAACATTTAAAATGCTCTTTTAAAAAAATTCTCCACTCGCCTCGGTTGAGAAGTAGATCTGGTAGAATAGCTTGCTGATTATGATATTATATTCTGATAAATTAATTCTCATATTTTAAATACTAAATGTATGCGTGAGTCAGGTATTTTCCCTATTCTCCAATCATCCATTTGGCTATAAGGAGTTACTGTTGGAACTGTATTTCATCCTCTGATGTGGATGGACTGGCAAAGGTTTGTTAGCCAGGCAGATTCATCCAGTGGCGTAAATTGCTCTCTTTTTATTACATTTTTCAAAAAACTAGTTTAATCATGCGGGTCATGTCCATGTATGAAAATAAATGTGAAAACTGCAAGTTTTAACTGGTTTTAATAAAAAGACATTGAATGCAGATGCATTGTTTCTTGACCTGTTTACCTGTATCGAAGGCCACATACTACACTGTGTCAAAAATATTAACATGTCAGAAAGGAATGTGTGAAGTGACCCGTCATAGGTGGCTTGTAAAATCCCCAAAATGGAATTTAGAGTAGGATTATTGTTCATGTACTAATCTGATATGGGGGTGGAGGCTTTTCCAATTTTTGGATTCTCCATCATTAATACTTCTTTGCACTCTTGCTTGTGTTGACACACTCAGCATAATGTCATGGAGTGTTTGCAAGGGAAACTGCCAATTTCCATGGTGCATTTATTTTTTCCCCTTCACACATGGTCACGTCCTGCTGAGGAAGTTAATTAAGGCTACATGTTCCAACCACTGTTGATAGTAGATATAAAGGGGGAGGTATGTTTGTTCAATAAATTTATTGTTTAATGGTGCCCACAGCGTACTTGATGATTGATACATTCAACTGCAAGATGCATGGGTGCCATTGTATGGTCCTAAAACACCTTTGGAACCCATGAAGTTTGCTATTAGAGGCCCATTTAAGGTGGCAAAGATGCTTCAAAATAATCTCTCGTAAAATTAAAACCAATACTATAATATTCAGTAAGTGAGCAAAATAAAATATTGGAAAGCATTTTCCTTGTTTCCTTGCACAAATTCAGATATTAGTTAATCCATTAATCCACTTGCAGTCTCTTTCCTGCTCCTGTTATTGATGTAAATAATTTTTCTCTAATACCTTTAATCATGCAAATACTTGCACGTTTGGCTTAAAATCTCATCTAGTTGTACGATTGGCATTGGACTGTTTACTAAGTATCAGGTGTCTATGTTTTCTCAGCTATACTCAGATATGATCTCACTCTTTTTATGCTGCTTTTTTAATTAGTTCTTCTTCCTCACCTATCTTGCCCAAAGAAAAATGTACCAATTAGCAGTTTACTGCAAGTTATTATCTGTGTTTATTTCACGGATGCTATTTCTGTAGTCATGTAGCCTTGATATCAGTATGATTATTCGTTTATATTTTTGCAAAATGAAAGCATTTTAATAAAATTAATTAGTATGGTGCATCTGAATTTTGCTTTGCGTGTCAATGGGAAACTAAGGCATTAAAAATACCAAAAAGAAGAAAAGGAAAACCATAGTGTTAACAACAGTTATAAGCACTGAAAATTGCCACAAATGTATAAATACTGCAACCAAGTATAAAATGTATTGACTCTGCTTTTGTCAACATGTTGATTTGCAACTTAAAGACTTGTATAGTGCAGTGTTTCACACCCTCTTCCCATCTGTCATCTATATGGCTCAGCTGGTTAGTGTGTGGTACTGATAATACCAAGGTTGCAGGTTCGATCCACATGTGGGGCAGCTGCCCGTTCCTGCATTGCACGGGGTTGGACTAGAGCCTTGGAACTCTTCCAACTATGATTCTAATTTTGGACTATCCAGGGTTCATTCTCGTTGTACCACTTGTGAGCCAAAGTCAATGTCTGGGACAGTAGTGCTAGACCAGCGTTTCCACCTGTTTTGGGACTACAATTCCCATTATCTCTGACTACTGGTCCTGCTAGCTAGGGATGATGGAAGCTGTAGTCCAAAAACAGCTGGAGACCCAAGTTTGGGAAACTGCCCTAGAGGAAGGTGGAGGTCAAAACATAATTAAAGTCGGTGTTCATTTTCCTGGACATGTCTTGTTTATCTCCCAGGATCCTGGTGCTTCCGGGATGCTTACAAGCAGGGTGTAAAGTTAGCCTTCTGTCCCCAGCATGTGATATTCAGAAGAGTACTCCTGAGTATGGAGGTGCCATTTAGCTATCATATATTAGCTATGGAGAGAATATCATTTGAATTTAATCACTTTTTGAGCCATCCCAGCTAACAGACTTATGGGGTACTTGTTACATAAAATACACACTTGAAATGATTTGCTCACAAATGAAAACGGCATGAGAGTCAAAATAGTGTTTCCAGAGAGCTAGGATTAGTTGTACTGGGCATCCATGTTGTGGAAAGCACGTTTGCTGCTACATAAAATTGTGAAGCATCCCTAATTCACTTAGTCCCTATATCTATTAGGGGAAACATCCTGTGCCTCACAAGTTCAGAGGTAGTTTCTGTCATGCTTAACCACATGTGCATTTTAGGTAATTAAGCCGACGTGAACTGCCAGGGTCCTTTATGCCTTCAGGTAAATGTACACAAATGGAGAAATAATAATAATAATAATAATTATTATTTATTTATACCCTGCCCATCTGGCTGAGTTTCCCCAGCCACTCTGGGCGGCTTGCAATCAAGTGTTAAAAACAATACAGCATTAAATATTAAAAACTTCCCTAAACAGGGCTGCCTTCAGATGTCTTTTAAAGGTAGGATAGCTGCTTATTTCCTTCACATCTGAAGGGAGGGCGTTCCACAGGGCGGGCGCCACTACCGAGAAGGCCCTCTGCCTGGTTCCCTGTAACCTCACTTCTTGCAATGAGGGAACCGCCAGATGGCCCTCGGTTCTGGATCTCAGTGTCTGGGCTGAGCGATGGGGGTGGAGATGCTCCTTCAGGTATACAGGACCAAGGCCATTTAGGGCTTTAAAGGTCAGCACCAACACTTTGAATTGTGCTCGGAAACGTACTGGGAGCCAATGCAGATCTCTCAGGACCGGTGTTATAATTGAAATCAAGCTCTTTCTGTTTTATAGATTGCCTCTCCATAAGCAAAAGCTAAAGGGCCCTCTTAAGAAGTGCCATGTCAATGTCCTTGCTTGTCTTTTCTGCATTCGGGAGTTTTATTTCTAGAAGACTCCCAAATAAATACCAGTTTTGGCCCCTCTCCGTTGTCAGCTATCGCAGTTACCTGCAAAACATTTCAGAACAGAAGCTGCTGTTTCTGAAAGTACCAGATTGAAAGCTTAGAAGCGGTCTTCAATGATAGGTGGGGAGACTTGAGTATCTGAGTGAGCAGCGAGTGCCATCTTAGAAATAAAAACTTCAGATATATTATTCAGATTGTGGTGGATTATCTGTCGCTCCAAGTATCTCCTCAAAGTGCAATGCATGAATCTCAGTTGTACTCAGTTTTGCACAAGAAAACTGACATCAACCCTTCTGCAAAAAGTAGTGTTTCTTGGGCTACCAGTAGCCTTCAGTTTTCTCAATAGCAGCACACCCTGTGGTTTGCATGTCATGCCAAGTCAAACTATGGTTTAGCGCAGTGTTTCCCAAACTTGGGTTTCCAGCTGTTTTTGGACTACAACTCCCATCATCCCTAACTAGCAAGACCAGGGTCAGGGATGATGGGAACTGTAGTCCAAAAGCTGAAGACCCAAGTTTGGGAACACTGGTTTAGCAGGACCATACAGCCTCCAGAGAGGAGCTCACAGCTGCTGTGCCCTTGCCTGGTCCTTTTTGCTGCCATGCTGCACTGAGCTGAACCAAAGCTGGACTGCAACAGTAAGTACTGGGCTCCGAGAATCATATAATTTCTGTAAAATATTGGGTCATAAGTGATGTGTAATTTCCTCCCCACAGATGTGCGTCTGACACCTTCATTGCGTAACTTTTGTTGTATGCTGAAGATTCATCTCTACCCTGTTCTTTTTACACTTGAGATACATATAATTTAGGACCCACTCTAGTTGTGATTGAAAATATTTTTAACCTGTTTTCAGTTATGTATTTTATATTGATATAACCTGCCCTGGAACGTTCTGGTGAAGGGCATGTCAATCTAAGTTATTATTATTATTATTATTATTATTATTATTATTATTACATTGCACTTAAAGTAAAATGAAACAGTACTGAATAATAACTCTTTACCAACTGTTTGATCCTTCCAACTGTTCACATTATATGCACAGTTTCATAAGAACTTATTGTGGAAATCAATACGTTTCGAATTATTACATTTTGATACTTTTAATTGGTCTTAACTTGTTTTCGTCTTTCAACATATGTTGAAAGATGCAACCTTTGCAACCTCGAAGCTAGGTACCTCACTTTTATTTTCATTTTTCAAGTGAAGGCCGTTTGCAAATGGGATTGGCTAGGGCTTTCCACCATATGTATAAAATCACATGGAATGGACATGTGCCATACATAGCTCTGTAAATGCTTTTTCCTGTATGGAAGTTATGTTTGTTTAGGAAACTTGTCATGTTCTGCAATTCAAACACAAGGTTGAATGTTAAATTTTCAAGTTATTGTACACAGCGTTCTTAAAACAATAACATTCGTGGGTAATGGGAAGGTGATAGAGCACCTACCATCTCTAGGTAGGGCTAGGAATATCCCATTTGAAACCCTGGAGAACTGCTGCCAATCAATGTAGACAATATCTGACTGATGGTCTGACTCAATAGAATGCAGTTCCTTTAATTTTGTGAGTTAAGTTCTGTGTTTAACTGTAGGGAGTGATATAACCCTTTAGAAATCAATAGCAAAACTCCAGCCAAATGTAACCTGGGGCCTGTTTTCATCCAGCCTCTCCTAGACATAAAAAGCACTTTCGTTAATATGTTGGAATCCACATAACTCGGGCAGGTGAGCTTTTTGCTATGAAGTGCCTAACAGTCTCATTGGAATCTGTCCCTTCTGTTTTCAAAGGTCTTCAAAATGGCAGAGGATGGCAGCAAGGAGGCCGTGCTTATCTGTAAGTATCCAAGAATACTTCTGCATTAAATATGCCTCTGCATATTAATTGTCAATGAGAGCCAAATGAGGGCTGCCACCTCTCCTGTGTTCAAAATAGAAGAGACAATGGATGTCCGATCCTGGCACCCAGTAAAATGCGGACAATTTAAGTGGTTGTGTTCCATTTAGGAGAGGCTGAGCCAGTGTAGGCAGGAACTGCGCAGGCACAGCAAACAGTCTGCCATGCATTGTAGATTTTCTGGGGATATTTACTAAGACCTTTTGCTACTGCTATCAGAGGTATTAGTGGGCACATTGGCAAGCTATAAAGGTGAACAAATGCAAGCACATATACTTAGTCTTCCTCTTGTCTGGGGATGAGACCTGAGAGGTTAAAATAGGATTTACAGAAAAGATGGGGGGATTGGAGAGGGGGAAAGAAGCATGGTGTTCAAAACTATAAATGACTGGTTCTCAAAACTTTTTTCTCTGAGCCATACTTTCAGAATAAAAATTTGATTGTGCCACACTGAATTTTGTAGTGATTAGAAATACATTGGGGGGGGAGAAACAACAACTAGCAGTGCTTGATTTATAACATAGAACACAACTACTTTATAATATGATGATGGGAAACCAGAAAGTATGAAACAATGCAGCTACATAAGAACTTGAATCATTCCCAAACTCTAATGATAAACACGTCTTCTCTAGCACTATGTTTGAACCGTGATTCTAGCTCACAACTAGGATTGTGCTCAGTATCATTTGATGTTCTTGCTGTCATTTTGAAAAGATATCTTTCCATATTCTGCAAATAATAAAAATTATTTTGATACTATACTATAGTGAAATGTTTAAATGTTTCTTTGATTGTCCTTGAATCTTTATGCTACACTTGCCATCCTTTCCTGCCACACCAGTTTGGGGCACCACAACCTTTCAGAACTGCTGCCATAAATGCATGGGCCCAGATTGCACTGTGGATTTACAGATTTTATCTGAGATATCAGCTGTTGAATCTGGGCATACACACACTGAATTTTACATGTGAACACCCTTTCAAACAGCATGCCTGGGCATTGGTGCCTGGTGATATCAAAGGTGGGATAAGTGCACTTGCTGGGCATGGGGTACAAGGTGTGTTTTGTTCCCTACTACTAGGTAAAGTTATTATAAGGGGTTGAAGATGCACCAGAGAGGAGTATGGAGAAGTTTGAGATGCATGTGCTTGGAAAATGCACATTTTTTTTCAGTTTTGTGAGAAGCTTCTGAATAACCCTTAGTAGGATTTCTTGTTCTCTGTGGGATTCTTCCTCTAATGGCTAGAATTTAAGTGGTGGTGGTGGGGTGGTACTTAATTTATAGCAACTGGCATCACAGACATCCGTAGCTTCAAGCAGTCTCGTTTTACAAACCAAACAATTTGTTTTGTTTCATTATTTTGCTGTTCTGTGTTTTTTTCTTCACGCACCATCACAATAAATAAATACTGAAGGGTTAGAACAGCCCTAATAGCTTTGCAGATGCCCCCAAGGCATAAAAGAGCATGCGAGAGTGCTGTTTAGTTGTGATTACTCTGCAGTGCTGACAGCTGTGGTGCTTTTTTTGCTTTTTTACCAGCAAGCTAAGCCGATGTGTCTGAGATACTACTAAAAAAATACAGGATGACTTGTAGCAGGACTACAGGAGACATCATTAGAGAGCAAAATAGTGAGTTGCAGTAGTGTTGGTTTGAAAGCAGAAGACCAGGGTTTGGAAACCATGCTCTGTTTGTGAGGCTACCTTTGAGGTTGGTCAGGAGGCTGCAGCTGGTGCAGAATGTAGCAGCTTGGGAGCATACTGCTGCCAGCATATAACGCCTTGCCTGTGGGGTTTGCACTGACTGCCAAGTTCAAGGTGTTGGCATATACCATGCAGGGCCAGGTTATATACCCAGTGGGACACTGTGGTTGGTGGGAGACCTCTCTTACAAGTTCCAAGGATCCCAGAAGCCTGCACTACTGTAACTCAGAGCAGGGCTTTCAATGCGCTTTTCCAGTTGGATGAATGGATCTCTGCCATGGGTACCTGTTTTGCTCGCTCCCCCCCCCCAAAAAACCAACAACATATATCTGATCTTTTAAAAACTGTATGTTGTGCATTGCCTCAAGACCTGTGCATGCAGGATAATTAATAAATAAGCGCTCTGTAGGCTGTGTTGGTGCAGGTCTAACATTTGAATGAGTGAAAGGTAACGTTGGAAGCAACCTTCCTCGGCACAAAAGACAATTAGAGGTGATGTTGGACTTGCTTTCCGACTAAGATCCAAAGAGAAGACATGGAAGCTGAGCCACGACTTTAAAAGAGGATTAGGCAGGTGCATGGAGGACAAGGCTATCAGAGACTACTCTCTGCAATGCCTTTGTTCTGCATCCACTGTGGAGAACAGTTGCTGGAACCCAGAAGTTTGGAGAATGCTGCTGCACCTAACTCCTGCTTGCAGACTTTCGCGGGCATCTGGTTGGCCACTGTGAGAAAAAGGATGCTGGACTAGAGGGGCTTGATCCAACAGGGCTCTTTTTATTACATTATATTTGGCTTAGCATGTTATTCAGGGATGCATAAGCTCTCTCATAGGACAATGAGGAAACTGCCTTGCACCGAGCAAGACCATTGTTTCATAAAGTTGGTGACTTCAGCAGTTTCCTAGGATCTCAGACTTAACTGGAGATGCCAGGGCTTGAACTTTTGCATATAAAACATGTGCGCTGCTCCCTCCCCAACTAGGAGGGGAGGAATAAAGCAGCTGTGAGGAGGGAAGCCTGCACACTCATGTGGTGTCCTGCCCACGGTTGTTTACAGGCATGGGGCTCTTCAAAATAAGGATCTGGGTTCATCTGAAGCTCAGTAGATGGAGCTTTTTTATTCTGAAGTTCTCTCCCTGCGTACAACCACAGCCAGGCTAGCATTCTTTATCCCCGAATTCGTCCTTCCAGTCTGTGCAAGTCCTGGGCCTGTGCTTAGAACAGGGCGTTCTGAAAAGCATGGCCTGGATGATGGAATGGATCTACTATTACAAAAAAAGGGAGAAGCAGCTATGACTGTAAACAAAGCTCACTCCTAGAGATGTTTGCTCCTTCTGTGGAGCCTGCGAAAAAGGTTATGCTTCTTGGTTGCTGGAATAGCCTTTGCTATGAACACCGAAGAGAAGTAACTTGAGGTAAATTGAGCTGGAATGGTTACAAAACAGTCTGGTGAAAGGTGTTTGTGTAACATCCAGAAGAAAGCGGCTTTGCACGCATTGATTCAGAGAATATGAATATCATTTTCCAGCCAGAATCGGTTATACCAAGTGTTGCTTCCCCTTCCTCTAAGCATCCTTCCTCGACTGACAAAACTATAATTGTTAGACATTTATTCAAAGCCTATTTTCTTTGGGAATTTTTGCAGGTGCTGTTATAGTCTGATAACACAAGTGCCATTTTATTCCTTATTTATCCCTGGGATGAGTTGAACTATACTATTGATTCAAACAAGTACGTGGCCACCGGGTAATTGAATATCACAGTTGTTGGAGTACACTGTGAAGCTGCTTGGCTTTCTCCATGGCTACCTGCTTTTTCTTTTGTCTGCTTTCAGGGTGTGAAGATTGCAATCAGCATCATGATTCCGAATGTCCAGAACTGGGCCCAGTGGTGATGGTCAAAGACTCCTTTGTGCTAAGTCGGGCAAGGTAAGCCAACTCTTGCCTTGTTGGCTTGCTTAATTTTAAAGTAAATGAAGCCAGATTGCCAATGCAAAAGGGAGTCTTCTGTTCTCACTTATTTTGTTTCTAGTGTCACATTTTGAACTAGGAATGCTCCCAGTCTTGGAGAACTCACATGCATGTAACTTTAAATGTCTCCCAAACAATTCTAAGCTGCAAGATCTCATTCTGGAGTGTTTTCAGCAGCATGAGAAGATGGGGAGCCAATTAATCCTGCCAGCCAGGGCAGAGTATTATGACTAGATCATCCTTTTTAACCTTTGCCTTTTCTTATATGTAGATGACAGCTTCCTGGCATTTATCGCAGTGAGGGAGAAAAGCAAGACTAATCACATTTGTGTCGGTGGAGCATGTGGATTGTACAATGTGAATGACACAAAAACAGAATTTACAGATGACTCAGTTTTAGTTGATCTAAGTCATTGTGCAAGCAGAACGACTACCTTGCAAATCTGCTCTGGGGATTCCTTCAACCCTCCAGAGCAGATTTGGGGGTGCTCGGGGGAGGGGGGTGACAGGGAAGGAGAGAGGGAAGGGAAATTCCATTGAAGTCATTGCCTGAGTTCAGTTGGATACAACCCTTTCTTCTAAGTGGACTAGTCTTGTTTGGAAGCATGAGAAACAGAGAAAATGCCTTTCGTAGGCAAAGGACACAATACTTGGATGCCAGATCGGTTTTCTCCTCAGTCATTGGTGATGTTAATAAACTGTCAATAAAAACAGCAACTTGAGGTGAAGATCTTCTTAGGTAGCCTAAGCATCTTCAGTTGCACTTCTCTTAAGTATTAATAATGCTATTTATAGCATGCCTCAGTGTAGCATGGTATGCATTTTATACCATAAAACCTGAGACTGAGGGTCACTTCAGAGTTTAGATTTCCTACATGGAAGTAACTTCAGTGTAGGTGAAAGTGGGTGTAGATCTGCACAGGGTTTTTCATATCCTTTCCCATATGGAAGTGCTTGCTGAGGAGGAACTCTGTGATCAAGCACATGCATTGAATGCAGAAGGTCCCGGGTTCAGTTCCTGGCATTTTCCATTAAAAGGATCAAGTAGCAGTTGATGGGATAGGCCTCTGCCTGAATAGCCTGCCGATCAGAGAAGGCAACATTTGTCGAAATGGACAAATGTTCCAACCTGGTATAAGGTTGCTACCTATGTTTTTATAGAAAAAATAATTTTTGAAATGGTCCTGCGGAATTACTGATTACCACTTATTAGAGAGCTGTTGAACCCATTCACAGGCAATTACTGACCCTCATACTATATAACAGTGTGGAAGGTTGTGTCGTTTCTCTTTATTTCAATTACTCTGTCAATGTAGAAGGTTTATATAGAAAATTTGTCCCTTGAAATTGATAATTTTGTCACTGAGGAGAGAGGACTCATTTATGCGTCAAAATATTCATTTCTTAGATCATCCCTTCCCTCCAACCTGGAGATCAGGCAAGTTGAAGATGGGATTGAAGGCATTTTTGCAGTAACACAGCTGGTGAAGCGTACCCAGTTTGGTCCCTTTGAATCAAAGAGAGTTACCAAACTGGAAAAGGAGCCAGCATTTCCATTAAAGGTACAATGGCACTGTTTCGGTTGGTGATAATGTGAAGGCACTAAGAAATGGAGCAACCAGGCTCTACCATTGTCTGAACGTGTATTTGCTTCATTTGGTTCTTTTTTAGTTAACCAGTTCATTCGTTAATCATTCTCTGCCTGCCTCTCTCTCTCTCTCTCTCTCTCTCTCTCTCTCATACACACACACACACACACAGAGTAGCCTTTTCAGTACCGATAGCTAATGCTATAGTGTTTCTGTTTGTATGGCCTGCAGAAATCTTCTGGTTTTAGTTCCATCTGTTAACTTTTAACATGTGCAGTCAGGCAAACGAGATGTGCTTCTGTTGGCAGTCCTCATATAGGGGAAGATGGAGCAAGAAATATGGAGTGGACCTGATCCTAGCAGGTCTTGCTTTTTGTACCAAATTGGAAAGGCTCAAAATACTAGCCCAGGTGGCACAGGAACACTTGGGAGTGCACTGTAAGACTCCTGATTGTTCCTTTGCAGCCACAACTTTATGTGCCCCACATTGATGGAGAAGGTTTGCGTTCACCTTGCCAGTATCTGTGAAGTCAGGGGTATGAAATAAAAGTCAGACCAGTTCATATTATTGCATTACCACTTAGCACAGTAGCATGGAAGCCAGATTCTTCCTCTCATGCCGTTACAGTAATGCCTAGATGCAGGGACCACATGGGCAGGTCATACTATGGTAACAAAAATGCATCCTTGTCTACAGCTATTTATTTATTAGTTGATCATTACTGCAAAGTTTGCATTCCCTCTTTGCATGGGTGTCTATTAGGTTTTTCAGAAGGATGGACCTCTAGTGTATTTTGATACATCTAATGAAGATGATTGCAACTGGATGATGATGGTGAGGCCAGCCAACCAATACGAACACCAGAACCTGTCTGCCTTCCAGCATGATAATGACATTTACTTCACTACATCCCGGGACATCCCACCAGGCACAGAGTTACGAGTGTGGTATGCTGCTTTCTACGCCAAAAAAATGGAAAAGCCCGTTCTAAAGCAAGTTTCTAGCATTGCCAATGGTACGTTGGGTTGCTTCGTGGATGGGTGCTGGGTAGTTTTTTTAACTATCTCAAAAAAATGTTCCCACTTTCTCTGTGGGGCTTATTGCATGCAAACATCTCCCTCACATGAAAAGAAATTGATAGAATCTATGTCCTGATTCGTATTATTTATTACACGTAATGGAATGCTTCCTCTGATTGATATTTTCTACTTTTAAATATAAAACAGCTTCCAAGGATCTAAGTTTCAGCAGAGGCACACCAGGCATTATAACAGCAATGTTACAATGTGGTTAGTAGGAAAATAAACTAATGCAAAATAAACTAATGCAAACATTATTTCTCTGATAGATGTTTGTTTAGTAGTGATGGAATGTGACCAAGAAGAAAACAAAACTACTTCGAAGCCTCCCTGTTCCAGTGGCACTTATTCTCTCAAAAAATTAAAATTCCCCCGTTCTAAACTTTCAGGTATGGAAACTCTTCTGTTCTTGTTGTGTGAACACTGTATAGCCAAATCACCTGTTAGAGCAGAGGTTTCCAAACTTTTCATGTTGCTGACCTGCTTTTTAGACATGCATCATTTTGTGACACAGTAATTCAGTTTTACTAGCAAACTGAATGTTAAACTAACACCTTTCCAGCCCCAGGAGGAGTGTGGGGAGAAGTTCACACAACACACGTACACACTTCAGCCAACACACTAATGTGTTGTGACACACAGTTTGGAAAGCTCTATATTAGAGAAAAATCTGATGGCGTATGATAGGGTTTGAGGTGGAACTGATCTCTGATGGGTATTGAAGGAAAGGTTTAAACCTGATATTTTGAATGTCTAGACCGGGGTTGGGTGGGTGAAATGGGGACTGTGGCCTTAATGTTACTGCACTACATTTCCCATCACCCCTGATGACTGGCCATGCTGCCTGGGGCTCATGGAAGTTGGGGTTACTAACACTATCCAGAGGACCACGGGCTTCCCATTCCTAATCTAGAGTTTGCCGCTCAGTTTGTTTAAGATATTACGTCCCTAAATTTTGTTTGTTGTGTTTTAGTGAGCTCTCTAGAAAGTAATGAGCCGCTGAAGCAGAGTCCAGCCAGTTGCCATTTTAGAGCAGAGGTGGGAAACCCGTGGTCCTCTATATGTTGTCTGGCTTCATTTCCCCTTCCATGTGTCAGTGTTTTCGAAAGCTTTCCAAGAATCCCAGCTGCTGATGAGCAAAAGGGAGGCACTGTTAAGATCCACAACTCCACAGGCGTAATTTTTAAAGGTTGAATGTGCTTACAGCTACAGTGGTTTGGCTTGTGTTTTCTAAAGAGAGCATTTGAGAAGTTCATTTCTTTGCCTCTGATCTTTAGACAGGGGTGGGGAACCTCGGGCCCAGGGACCACATGTGGCCCTCTAGAGCTCTCTACCTGGCCTCCGGGGCTCTCCCCAGCTCACACCTTTAGCAGACCTGCTTTAGCCCCTCATCATGTGCTTTTGACTGGCAGGAATTTGACCTTGAACGGTGATAATCCTCCCAGTTGAAAGCACTATTGAAATGAAGGTTTGTACTATGGCATGAGGGTCTGCTCTCCTCAAAAAGGGTCAAAAGTCACCAGTTTTGTCACAACTTTGTACAGAGGTTGTGTTTGGAATATTGTTGACTTTAGGCGGCATTAAATTTAAATGAAGGGAAGGCCCTTTACTTCTAATGTTCAGCCATGCCCGTATATTTTTTTGTCTCATCGCTCTTCCCTTGCAGAGCATCGCCGGAGTCACTTGGAGCAAGCCAAAGGAGCTCCACAGAGCAACCAGAAAGATGCAGTTGCTGAAATGGTTATGGAGGCCCCCCCTGCAGACCAGCCCGTAGCCCATGAAAGTGCCAACACCGCAGTGGAAGGGAAAAGAAAACCACGAAGGGGCAGGAAGCCCAAAGTGGCAAGACCAGAAACTCCCATTGTGATTGTGGACAATAAAGACTCTTCTGGTGAGCCCAGAAACTACTAAAAGTAGCTATCAGTGATACTTCATTTCATACCCTAAATTTTTCACTCAGTGGGCCAGATGGTCATGTTCATCCCCTCCCTCAGGTCAAGCTTGACAGGTAGGCCTAGCTGCCCACCTGTCATGCTGCCCACCTGTCATGTGAATCCAGTCACGGTAGCATCTGGTGAGCTTTTTGCCTGTAGGATGCCCTTCAAAGTGCTTCCCCCCCCCCCAGCAATTCATATGGGGCTTTATAGGCTGATTGGTGGCATCTGCAAATACCCTTGCAGCTGAGGCAAGTTTTTACCTGTCCTATACCTGACATCATCTATGATATGGGTGGGCATGATGTGGCCAAAATAGCCTCACAGGTGGGTCTAATTAGGCCAATGGGCCACCGATACCCTAAGCCACGAATGGCCAAACTTAGCCCTCCAGCTGTTTTGGGACTACAGTTCCCATCATCCCTGGCCACTGGTCCTGTTAGCTAGGGATGATGGGAGTTGTAGTCCAAAAACAGCTGGAGGGCTAAGTTTGGCCAACACTGCCCTAAGCGAATTACTTTGCATTACCAACTTCTTTGTTTTACGGGCAGAGGGCATGAAGAAGCTGAATTTTCCATTTTATGACATATTTGCATTGGGGAACTAAATTTATTAAAAAGTGGTGTATCACAGCACGTGAGCTTATTGAATTGCCTTGTACTGAGCCATCTAGTCTGGTATTACCTTCTCTGTCTAACTCTGGCTCACTGAGGCAGGTGTGGGAAACTTGGTTTTCCAGATGTGGCCGAACTGTTGCCCTAGTCATTGTCTTTGGCTTAACTAGGGTGTGCATGAACCATTAAGCTCAGTATCTTGTATGGCTGTATATTTAGGGTTCATAACTGAGTGGCCTTTCTTGATAACAATGAATTCATTTGACAGAGGAACATGTTGCTGAAATTATAACGGAGATTCCACCTGATGACGTAGCTCTTCCTCCTACAGAAGAAGCAAGGTTTATGGAAGTGGTGTTAGCAAAGATACCCAGTACTGCAAACAGTAGGAATTCTATAGCGAAGTAAGTCCCTCCAGTAAAGGCAAATGCTAAAATGTTCTGTTTCCTCATTCCTGCATATTCAGTATTTTAATGTGAAAGAGGTATGAAAGATTTGGAGGTGGAGGGGGGAAACAGTGCAGTGTTGAATCTAGTTTTACTTTTCCATTTGAATCTAATCTTGCTCTTCCATGAATGGAAAGGCTCCTTCTATTTGTAGATGTGACTCAAATTCAGTAGGAATTCCAGCTAGAGGAGGGTTTGTGATTTTCTCTATCTTCTCTCTAGCCATCCCTTCCCTCCCATACTGTTCTAAAGGTTTCACAACCTTTTGGAGTAGATTTTCAAAAGGTATATGGAGTTAAAGAACAAAATAGGAATCCTAACCATACGTGACCTTCCACTCTCAGCAATTCTAATCCCACTGGAAAACCTTTATTATCTTGGACATAATGAAACATTAAGCGTTTCAGATTTTAAAAAGTGATCATTTGCAATAACATAAGCAGACTGAAACTCTGCTTATTTGAGGGAAAATATAAAAATCCAGTCTGTGATAATAGACTCCTGGTGAAACCTTCTACCCTAACAATGATACCATACTTTTCCGTGTATAAGACTAGGTGTTTTTTTTTTTACTAAAAATAATGTTAAAAAGCGGGGGGGGGGGGGTTGGTTTAAGTCTTATACACGGGGCAATCACCACCCATTTTCATAACTTTGAATCCCCCAAAATAGGGGATGTCTTATACACGGGGGTGTCTTATAAATGGAAAAATATGGTAATTGGTTTTATTTTAGATAATTCACTTGAGCAAGTGTACATAGTGGTAGTTCAAATGGGGGAGAGGTGGTCCTTGAGGTATTTCAGTCCTGAGACAATATTGCTTCTAGGGTGTGTATGGCACATCATCTCTTTGAAAGAGCCCCCATGGAAAGCTAACACTGCAAAGAGGAGCTTCGCGTGTAGGGAGCTCCTGCTATAGGATGCTTCCAACCAACATAATTAAAGTGCTGGCCAATGAGAGGACTATGCCAGCACCCTGTCCTGTTCCAAAGGGTTGCTAATAAATGAATCCTACAGTATGCTGACTGTACGAGAAGAGATACGATAAATAGTAACAGGACGCTGAGATGGTGTTTGCACAGCACGGTGAACTGCTTCGTTGTTACCTGCCTCTTTCTTTCCAATCGGGCAGGTTTTCTCACCATCAAAGCTCCATGTCCCTCAAGAGGAGCTTGCTCCTGTCCAGCCGACATGGGATGCGGCGCAAGATGATCAAGCAACTTGGGGAACACAAGCGCGTCTATCAGTGTAACATCTGCAGCAAGATGTTCCAGAACAGCAGCAATCTCAGCAGGCACATCCGCTCTCACGGTGAGTTCAGGTGGGATCACCTGGTTTTGTTTTCAGAGCTCCCACAACTCATTGGAAGAGAGCTCTTCATATAAAAGAAGTTTTATATGGTGGGACATTGAAGCAGTACCTAAGAAGAAGGACTGCAGATTTTCAGCCATTAGGGTAGCAGTTTAGTGAGATAGTTTTCCAAAGTCTAGGGGAATCTCCCGTCCCTTGAAACATGTAAGCCGGAAGGGATGGATCAGAAAAGATGACTAAGGGCAGTTAATATTACACAAAAATTGTAATGGTTTTCGTTTGATGTGTCTTTCTTCAAGGATAGACTTCTTTTTCAGCGATCCAGTGTTTAAACTTCAGTTTAGCATTGATGGAGTGATTTAAGATACTGCAACAGAAGATAGGTGCAAGTCATGTTCAGTAGTGCACAAAACATAACTGATGACTCAGCTGCTTCACCTATGTTGCAATTTTGGTGGTGGTTCATCCTCCAGATGTGCCATTATAATGCTCTACCATTCACCCAGGGCTAGTTTTAAGCCAGCAGGGCTGCTCCCCATCCATGGGCTACTGTGTCAAATTAGAAACATGGGTGGAAGTTGATAAATAACATCAGTTAGTATGAAGTGATGCTTGACCCAGCAGCTGTGATAACAACTGATGCAATGCATTCCACATCCTTGATATATATAAATGTTTGGTCCCCCCCCCCCAATAAGGGGACATGTAAAAAATGAGCCAGTATCATGTGGTTACAGTGTTGGACTCTAGGTATTCAAATTCCCACTCAGCTGTGAAGCTCACTGGGTGATATTGGGCCAGTCATTAAGTTTCAGCTTAGCTTAGCTTACAGGGTTGTGAGGATAAAATAGGGAGGAAAACCATGTACAACATCTTAAGCTCCTTGGAGGAAAAATAGGACATAAATGTAATAACAAATACATAAATAGAAGTGCCTTTATTACATTTTTAACATCCAGCCTACAATCCTGTACATGTCTGCTCAGAAGTAAACCCCAGTGAGCACACTGAGTGTTTTAATGATTGCAGCCTCTGTATTTGTGAAATTCCTGTCTTTTTCTTTTTGGGGTAATACATTTTTCTTTAAAATGTATAATTCTGAAGTAGTCTATATTTTTCCCAGTTCCTTTGAAAAAGAGTTGCCTGACGCAAAATATCGTAGTTATATTTAAAGTATCATTTATTAAATTAAATGTACATATGAACAGGTGGTATTCGATGAAGGTTTACTCAGAGTAGACACATCAAAATTAATGGACCTAATTTCCGTGGGTCTCGTCTGAGTAGAACTTAGTTGACCGCCACCCAAAAGTTTTGGAACGTATGGTATCACTTCCTCTCTCTGCTGCTGTAGCAAGTTCTTTGCTAAGCCCCTTTGCTGCCGAATCTTTCCATAATGTCTGAAGTTGCTTCATAAGTTACATTTGTATGAGGGAACCAATTTATAGGCAGAATGCCCATGAGTAGTGCCCAGAGAAAGAACAGGCCCATATGTAGATTTTCAGGAATACATTAGGCTATTAAAAACCATATGCAGTATGATGTGCATGCATTTTGTATTCAATCATTGGTTCCTATAGCATATTAATTGTCCCTGGAGCCCTAACTGCATAGGATATTGTGCTAAATGTTCCATTTGTCTTTTCCAGTTTTTTGGGGGGTTTTTTTACACTTCAGTGATATAAGTGATCTAGCACTTTTCTTCTCTATTAAGCCTGCAATAGTACTAAACACTATCATTTTTCCTACTGGGAGCAGCCCAGATGCAAATTTGATCCCAAGTTAACTGAATATTTGATACATTTTATTTTAGTGCTGCTAGTTATTCCTGAATTTTCTAGATGGATAAGCAGGTGACTGAACTCTGTCTTGTTGTGATTAATCCCTTAGGTGACAAATTGTTTAAGTGTGAAGAATGTGCCAAGCTTTTCAGTCGAAAAGAGAGTTTGAAGCAGCATGTTTCATACAAGCACAGTAGGAATGAGGTTTGTATGGGTCTCCATCAGCAAGCCATTGTGGGATGAAAGTGGGTTACACACCATGGTAGGCAGGCAAGGTCTGCAGATCTCAGAATGGGCCTTCTCCTACCTGTAGTTATTTTGTTTGTAGAAAAATCTGGTGCCTTTACTTGTGCAAAAGCTTAAGAGCCTCAGAAATTACCATAGAAACCTCTCCTATAATTTATCAGTGTTTAAATTTTCTGGGGGGTTTTTTGTGGGAGGGGTGACAGCTCCATTGGGGAAACAAATCAAAGAAAATATTTTTTGAAAAGTATGAACTTCATATGTTTGGACATATTTATTGTGATTCCTTTTCTGTTTTCCACTTTTTAATCCCCAGGTTGACAATGAATACAGGTACAAGTGTGCTACATGTGAAAAAGCTTTTCGGATAGAGAGTGCGTTAGAATTCCACAACTGCAGAACAGGTATGATAATCAAACCACGTTACCTAAGTCCCATGAAATGGTCTGGAATTGTATTTATCTAGTAAGGAGGGAGCAGTGCAAGTCATCTGGACATTCCGTTTTTATTGCTTATGCAGACAAAACTATAAACTGCTTTTAAAATACCTGGTATGCACAAAATAACATTTAAAAACTATCAATAACGTGCAGATAAAATCAGCATAACGAGAGACGTTGAGGATTGGATTCTTCTGCGTGTAAGACAGATGTTCTACCACTGAACTGCAGCGCTTCCCATAATCACCATCAAATGTGTGTGCAGGATGGAGTGCTGTATCAGTACAGTATCCAAATTATTGTAGGGAATCACTAGGCTGATCCACCACACTGGCCCACCAGGGTGGCTCAGCACAGAACCATCTACATTGATAAGCATCAATTATTTGGTAATATCCAAGTGGTGTCGCAACTGGCATGCCAGATACCATCTCCCACACTGGCTTCACTCAGAAAGCTATTGCTGGTGGCATCGACACAAGCCACAGCACACACTCTCACAGCAATGCCCTACTTTTGGAGACAAGGGCTTGCGTTTAAAATGGGCAGTGTAGGATTAGACGAGAGGAAGCTGCTTGTTGGTTTTCAGAGATGGCCCTTGCTTGAGTTGTGCAGCTGGATTCCACGGCTTATTCTTAGAAACAACTAAATGGTTTTAAAAACTGCTTTTATGAAATCCGTCCTTCCCCTTTTTCATGCAGACGACAAGACCTTTCAGTGTGAGATGTGCTTCAGGTTTTTTTCCACAAACAGCAACCTCTCAAAACACAAAAAGAAACACGGGGACAAGAAATTTGCTTGCGAGATCTGCAACAAGTTGTTCTACCGGAAGGATGTCATGTTAGATCACCAGAGGAGGCACCTGGAAGGTAAGTACATTTGTGATGGATCTTCTTCCTGGACCTTTAATAATTTTTCCCTTTCGCCTATGGTAATCATTTAAAAATTCGACGGATGGCACGCTAAGGCTGGTTCTTTTCTTCATTTGTGGTAATGCATCACTGGAATTGAGGGTGAGAAGGCTTTGAACCATCCAAGTGTAGCTATTTTTCTGACAAGTATGATCTAAATTGTTCATTATTCAGGATGCGATTTAAGGGCTATTTTTTACATGAAAAACTTTGATATGTCCTTAAGTTGCATCTAGATAGCTGAACCATTGTGCTTGCAGTGGAAATATGGGGTTATAGTGTTGGACTACGACCAGGAAACCCGGGTTCAGATACCCAGTCAACCAAAATATTCACTGCTTGACCTTGGGCCAGTCCCTTTCTTAGCCTAACCTGCCTTTCAGGATTATTGTGAGAATAAGACAGTAGAGGTCTTATTTGCTTATTTATTTATACTCCGCCTCTCAAGGCAGCTCACAGATTAAAAAACCCCCAAGAACTGCTAAAAACATACAAGAAGGTAGGAATGTTTTCGCCTCTTTGATCTCCTTGAAGGGAAAAAATGGGATACAGATGCAATAAATAAATAAAATAGATGGCATGCACGAGACACAAATCATTGCACAACCAAGGCGCTACCTCTCAGCCCAATATCCATGTTTATGTGCAAACCTAAAATTAAGCAGCACTTCTTACAGACAGGATGTCATTTCCATGCATCACTGTATTGATTATGGTGTGCATTATTCATAGAAGTAGGAAGCATGGTTTATTCTTTGTTTGTTCTTTTTTTGGTGGGAACTGTTATCTTAAGGAGTGAGGCGTGTAAAAAGAGAGGACTTTGAGCACAGCACAGAGAACATGGTTCGCTACAAGAAAGAACCTTCTGGCTGCCCTGTTTGTGGAAAGGTAAGATTTTCCATTGACTTACATTTGTGGAACTTTTGTTTCAAACCACAGGCATACTCACATGCATTTATTTATTTATTTTGTTGTGCTTTTAACACACAACAATTCAGAACGTGTTCTGGATGAGTTCCCAAAATCCATACAACTATGGCAAACTTTTCCAGTCTGTGTAACTGACGTGAGGTTAGCAGAGACGGCAAAGACCACACGGATTACAGTGGTTACCTCGGGTTACGAACAGTCCTGCTTACGAATGCTTCGGGTTACGAACTCCACAAGTGTCCCGGGTTGCGAACTTTGCCCCGGGATACGAACGCAATCTGCTTCCGGGGCCGCAGGAGGCCTATGTAGGTAATGCATGCCTCGGGTTAAGAACGCTTCGGGTTAAGAACGGACTTCCGGAACAAATTAAGTTCGTAACCCGAGGTACCACTGTAATGTTGCACAAGCAACTTGGTGACCTTCTTTGCTTTTTCTTGGATGCTTTTTGATGGGTGATAGTTGAGAGAGAAGCAAAGCAGTAGAAGCTTCCACATGAGCGTGGTCCCAGTGGTCTTCTGACAGCCACGGTCAAAGTATCGTGATAAATTGTCTCTTTAAGTCCCATAGGTTGAGCTCCCCGCCCCCCAGCATGTGGAATGGTGTGTTGCTATTTAAGAAGCTCCAGCCCAAAGTCCCCTTGGGCATGCAGAACTAGATATGCTGTGCTTTGGGTTCTAACCTGTGGCTTGTTCAACCATCCATTCATTGGTATTATGACCTTATTTGGTCAACTGCTGGCTATTAAGAGCTTTGTTGTTAAGTTGGATGTCATTACTATGGAACGGAAGTGACCCTCCTTCCTATGCCAGTGAAAAAAGTGTTGGACCCAGAGTTGAGATATGTGCAGTGCAATTCTGTACATGTTTATTTGGGTGTAAGTCCTAATTAGTTCAAAGTGGCTTATTTTCACATAAATATTCATAGGATTACTCTGCTAGAATCAAATCCCTGGTAAGAGACATCCTCAAGAAATGGTCTTAGGGCAAGTCTGCCGTGTTCTCGCCCCAACCCTGTTATGCATTAGTTCATAATATTAAAAGGGAAATTAATGGTCATCGTAAGGTTGTTATGAAAACAATCATAATAAAATGCTGTACAGTGCAATGCACACTAAAATTGTTGTGAAAATGACAAAAATAGGAAAACATATTTAATAAAATCTTAAACTTTGAATATAAGTATTTGAAAATAAAGTTATAGAGATCAACTGGAAAATTTTGTGGGTAGTTCTGTATTAGAATTCAAAGTTTAATTGTTGGGCAGTTCTCGAGCTGGTTTAGTCAGGGAATAAGTTCTAATCTTGAGTAATGTCACCCAACTTTAGTTCAAAGCATGAACCAAGGGTATTTTAGATCTTTCACATGTGACAGGAAAACAGAATTCGCCTGCTAACATCTTTCTTCCCCTTCAGATATTTTCATGTAGGAGCAATATGAACAAGCACCTCCTGACCCACGGAGATAAGAAATACACCTGTGAGATTTGTGGCCGCAAATTCTTCAGAGTAGATGTGCTCAGAGATCATATTCATGTTCATTTTAAGGTACAATGTTTAACAACCTTGACACTGCCCAGTGTGATTTGATTCAGAACTGGAGTTGAGTAGGGTTACGAAGAAGCTACCAAGGAGAACTGGGAAACCATTGAAAACAGGAGGAGCAGTGTTTTAGTAAGCGATAAAGGCTGAAGGCCAATTTGGAAATCATGAGACCAGCCATGTGGCGTTGGTTAGTTCAGCTTTCCTTAAGACTGAATTTTGAGCCATGTAATATATTAAGCAGTGATATTCCCATTTAAAGATGTTGCTACAAGTATGAAATAACTTTTAGAATCGGAAAGGAGCTCAGTAGCGGGCCGGGGGAGAGGGGCCATTTTTTTCCCCTATCCTCTGTCAATTCAATACGACTAAGGGATGAAAAATACTTAGCATCTGTTGTTGAAAGAGGGAGCATCGTTGAGGGAAAAGCCTGCAGAAGATTCAGCGAATGTCATACCTTAGCAGATTTAGTTTTTGAAAGGTTTGGTTTTTGACACTTAACAGGCAGCAAGGTGTAAGGAAGAAGGTGATATATTTCATTATTTATTGATTTTGCACAAAGCTCAGTCATCTGAAAAGAGGCAACAGAACAACAAGCTATAATTCGGATAGTTCTGGCTTGTTATTAATGTAAATTCAGCTGAGAAGCAAGTGAAGCTATTGGTTTTCCTTGTTTTCGGAGGACTTAATAGAGACACAATGGCTGTGTCTGCTTAGTTTTTTTGGTCAGACAACATTTTGAGTTTGCACTTCTACTCTGTACAGGACATAGCAATCATGGATGACCACCAGAGAGAAGAGTTCATTGGCAAAATCGGAATATCTTCAGAGGAGAATGATGAAAACTCAGACGGAAGTGTGGATTCTGAGCCTCACAAGTATAGCTGCAAAAGGTGCCAGGTAGTTTTACTCCTTTCAAACATTTTGCGGTGGGAATGGGGTGGGAGAGTTGGGTTGCTAAAAGAAATGTCAAAAATAGTGAAAAGATGTTCAGCTACATTCCCTGACCCAGAAATCTGTGTCTTTTCTGGTGTGTTTGTGTATATGGAGCTCTTGCACATGCAGTCAGTAGCATTCATTTCAGCGGCAGCAGGAGAGCTGAACATACACTTGAACATGTGCTGCCTCTGTTGAAATATTCAAGGTAGATGTTGCAAACTGGAAAGCTCCATGTGGGTATAACAGCCTTCCTGTAAGAAATCACAGGGGCAGCTGTGTGTGGAGGCTGATTGAGAGACAGCTAATCAATGGCTTTAACCCACAAGTATTGGCAGAAGAGAGAAATTATTCTCATATTCACACAGTATCTGTTATTCAAATACATTTAATTTCAGGCAATGTTAGTTAAGCACTTTAAAAAGAAAAAAAGAAAGTAGGTTTCCATCACTGTAAGGATATCATGATTTCATGTGTTTTTTTTAAAAAAAATACTGCTCCATCTTTCTTCATTGCTATGTTAAGAAGTCTTGTCTGTTTACATGTAAAACGTGAGATAGGCCACTGCCACTTCATGCCTGTCTTGTATAAACAGGAGCTGTCTTGTTGATTGTAGAAGGAAGGTGGCTGAAATTGTTAATAATATTAGTCTGGTTTCCAGCTCACCTCTTCCACAGAGGTTTGTGTGAAATTTTGCTGAAACAAGGATCCAATTTCCTTTACATACCCTTTGTTAATAATTCTAGAAGTCCATAGCTAACAAATTGGCTGGCTAAATAAAATCTTATTCCATTGCCTACTCTGCACCTTTCCTTCAGTGTCTTTGGATCTGCAATCTTTGCCCCTTTATGGCTTCCCTACCTCCCAGGTGCAGACTTTAGCTATCTCCTGCATGGCCTATTAATCCCAGCCAAACTAGCAATAGTGCCTTCCCTTACAGAAATTGGGCTGAAAACAGCTTTTGCTCCCTTAGAAACCAAAGATCCTTGGCCATCATATAAACCGCACCAAACAGTGGTATAGTCTTCAGTGCCACATGCAGAAATCAACACAGATATTGTGTCTGATTATTAGCTAGCCTTGTCGTTTATTTCAATGCTGCATTAGCTTGTGGTTACTATTTCCAAGGGTGTCCACCTCTCCCCAGTGTGGTGCATTCACTGTTGTTTCATTCTTCAGTTGACATTTGGCCGAGGAAAAGAGTACCTGAAACACATTATGGAAGTTCACAAGGAGAAAGGCTATGGCTGTAGCATCTGCAACAGACGCTTTGCCTTGAAGGCAACTTACCATGCGCACATGGTCATTCATCGGGAGAACCTGCCAGACCCCAATGTGCAGAAGTAAGGAGATAATTCTGACAAAACTAAATCAAGGATGCAGTCCACTTTACTTGCCAGATGAGCATGGGAAAAATACATTGACTTCAGTGGAACCTACACATGAATTAGAGGCAGGATTGCAAGCAGAGAATAATTTCTTAGCAATGGTTGTGGAGCTTTAGTAAAGAAGATCAGTCCAAGGGAAATGGTGGACTGTGACAGTGGCCTACTTAAAGTGTGTTTACCTTGCAAAAGTAACTGAATAGTTTTGCACATGTGCTCCTGTTTCCCCTTCTCTGTCCTGTGGAGAGGGTGCAGTTTTGAAGTGTGATGCACTCCCAGGTTAATAATGACCACAGCAGCCAAAGAAGATGGGAAATACTTGAATGTAATTAGTGAAAGAATATTACGAGTGTGGAAGCACAATGTTCTGCTTCAGACAAGATATGTGTGTGTGGCAAGGGGTGGGAGATGAGAGGTAGTGTTTCCAGGGTACATATGTCAACTTGACCATACTTTGGATTTGCCCCGGTTTATATCCTATACAGCGAGAAGCTGCAAAGAAAAAGCCCAGGTCAAGAAACTGCTAAGACAGTGGGCATTGCATAGACTTAGCACTAAAGCAAAGTTTAGCATTAGATGAGACATAGAAGGGAATAATGTAAAAGCTTTCAGTTACGTTTTGGACTGGATAACATAGCAAACTGTGGCCAAACCCAGATCAACTGTTGCTATTCTTAACTATGGTTTGCTGTAACAAGCCAACTTCAAGTCACAATTTAAGAAGCTGACTTCTTAATACAATTTAGTGTTGGGATATAATGCTATAGTGTGGTTAGTCTTAAATGGAAGCTGATGATCTCCTTCTTGATGATTCACAATAGTGAGAGAGCATGCAAGCCCAAAGCTGACTGCCTTTGTAACACTAAACCAAAGCATGATGTCCAAATCAAGCCACTGTAGTTTAAAAAAGAAAAGAAAAGAAGGTATAATGCTATTTAAATATTTCTAGATGAATAAGTCAATACAGTATTTTTTATATACTTACAAGAAAAGTTTTTTAAAAACTGTAAAGCCATGCATAACATTAAAAATCCTAAGCACTTGTAACACATTACAAGTGTTCACTTGTAATGCACAGAAATTTTAAAATCTGTATTCCTGAACCTATGAGCTAATGCAGGGACTATTGTCTAGCTAAAGAGACAAATATAGCTTGGTTTTCTCTATCCCTCAAAAGTGTAGTGTTACTCTATTAATGAACTGTTTCAAATAATTTTGTTCTTCAAATAAAAATACACCTTTGAGATCATAGATTTTCAATTAATTAGAAAAAAGGATGTCTCTAGCTGATTTTTATTTCCTATTTTAGATATATCCATCCATGTGAAATCTGTGGAAGGATTTTTAACAGCATAGGGAATTTAGAACGGCATAAACTTATTCATACAGGTAGACTCATTTTATTACTGTTCTTTTAATAACAAATATTTTCTTGTGCTGTTTCTTAAATTTCGTAAATGAATCCTATTTGTCGGGAACATAGATTGTGATGGGTTAATTCTGTGCTGAGAAAACTCTGCACTAAAAATTGCTCAAAATAGCTTTTTTCTTTTGAGGGTGGGGAGATGGGGGGCACGATTCATCAGCATACAGAAAGTGTCCGTCATTACATTAGCTGCAGCTCATGAAGTCTATAGAACCAATGCAATTTGCTGAGCATTGTACAGTCCATTGTGCTTTGGGTGCATCTTCTCATATTCCCCTGGCTTCTCTTTCTTGACTCTGTGCACTTGCTGTCTACCTGGCAAGGGAGTGATGAGCCTGCAAGTGCTTATTATTGAAACACATCTCTGCCTTGTGGGCAGACAAGTCAAATGGGATGTTCTTTCTCATTAGGAGAGGACATATTTCTCATTCAGTTCTGTAGCCTCAAGACTCAGTGCAATTCAGTGCATCTCTAATTTTGTAATTTGCCTCAGTCATTATGATCATAGCTCCCCCCCCATCTGTCTCTCGTCCCCTCTCCTTCTGCGTCCTTGTTGCCTCTTTGATTTGCATCTTCTTTCCACAACTCTTTTTAGAGGTTCCTATACAGCTTTCCATGTATCTTTTCTCTGTTTCTATCTCGTTCCACATCAGTTCATAAAACCCTTTTATTTTGAGAGTGGGAGGGACGACTGCCAAAAGGGTTGACTTCATTTTTACCTGCACACAAAACCTAACGTTCCCAACCCCACCCCAGTCCCCTTCAAATAACAATTTATTTTATTTTATTTTTAAGGTGTGAAAAATCATGCCTGTGAGCAGTGCGGTAAGTCATTTGCAAGGAAGGACATGCTGAAAGAGCACATGAGAGTCCATGATAATATTCGAGAATATCTGTGCGCAGAATGTGGCAAAGGTATGAAATGTCCCTTTTATATCCCTAAGTAAACGGTATGTGGTAAAAAAATGGTTATTTCAGAATATGAATCTCCCTTGATAATCAGAGTGATTCCTTACAAATGACTGGAATCATTCTTTTTACTTTTATAATGTACTGATCAGGAATCTAGGGTGCTTAATGTTCGTTTAATTTTTCATAAGAAGTTGCTCTGTGGCAAAGCACATCTCATTACTGAGTCTTCCATATGTGAGCCCAGCTGATGTGGCGCTGCAGGACTGTGGGTACTGTACTGGCTTTTTCGTCATTGGTTGTGAACATGCTTCATTAAGGATGTGAACGCTATACTGAGCCAGACTTGAGGTAGAGGACATTGCCAGCTGTATGTGGAAATGGCAGAGAACAGACCCTGGGATCTTTTCTGCACAAACCTGACACTCACAAATCAGGGATGTTATAACTGCACCTAAGATGTAGCAAGAAATTTACTCCTTATAGGAGTACTGGGTGTGGGTTCAAATCCCCACCCAGCTGTGAAACGTACTGGGCAAGTCACTATCTCTTAACCTACCCTACCCTACAGGGTGGCTGTGTGGACTGAAGGGAGCTGGGGAACTCTGCCCACTGTCCTGAATTTTGTAGAGGAAGCGTAGGATACAAATGTAATTATTAACAGTAATGACAGAATTGGCTGTGAATAAGAGGCTTAAGTGTCTTTAAGACTTATTTCAGAGGAAGTCCTGTTGATTTTGTTGGCTCTTGTTTCTAAGTGTTTCAATTAATCAGTGAATAATTTAAAATATTTGCATCCCACCTCGTCCTACATGCAGGATGGTTTTAAATTCCCACTTAAAACAAACACCTGTATCGATGCTGTCTTATTTAAAACACCTGCAACTTCCCAGTATTTGCATGCTTGTGTTTTCTACAGCTGCTTGTTCTGCAATCCCCTTTCTGCTATAACACCTGTTGTCTGGATGGCACGATTCTGTGTGTGAACGTTCCTGGCTTGCAGCAGTGGGATTAAACAGGACAGCCTTTTGCCCTCTTGCCATTCTGTGGTGGTTTTCCACTTCACTTGAACTCCAAGAGCCGCCTTAAATGTTGTGAATTACTTCTTAGGCTTTTCAAAGACAGCAGCTGAATGAACAGGGTTCTTTAAATAAATAAACTGGCACGCACGTGCATGCTGAGCCTCACCATTCCCAATAAAGAGCCTTTCAGAGATCTTTCATTGCCCTTTTTCATGGGTCTCTTGAAGCTTTCAGGTGAATTGTTTTCTGAAATAGACCCAAGCGTTCTCTTCAAGTTTCCTTAGAGGTGGCCATTGGCTTGGAACATTCTCATGCAGAGTCTTTTCCTTTGCATGCCTCTCAAGCAGAGGGTGTTGAAAGGGCTTCCCCGCCATGCTTAAGCCTTGATTTTATCCATTACAGGCATGAAAACAAAACACGCCTTGCGGCACCACATGAAGCTTCACAAAGGGATAAAGGAGTATGAATGCATGGAGTGTCATCGGAAGTTTGCACAGAAAGTCAACATGCTGAAGCACTACAAAAGGCACACAGGTGAGCACCACGGAGAGGAGGAACTCCACAGCCCTTGCGCAGGGCAAGATAAATTGCCTCAGAGTCAACGGAGCCTACAGACCTGCTGCTCTGTAATACAGTAAAGCGACGTCAGTTACTTCTTGCAGCACCAGTCTTCTGCATGTCTCCCCAGGAGTAAATAGCTACAGCTGCATTTGAAGGATGTTGCTTGCTGCTAAAGAAGAGTGTGTCAGGTTGCAGTTTTACTTGCCCTAGATCCTTGATCTAATTTCCAGGTCTCTGTGGAGGGTGTGCAAATGTGTATTACAGGCACACATATAGATGTTGACTGAGGTTAATACCATTAGGCCTTTTTAAAAAACAACAACACAAAATATACCCAGGTAATTTTGTCCATAGCTATTTATGGTTAATATAGATAGGAAGCTAGAGGAAGATGCCTGCATTTTTGAAACATATGAAGAGGGCGGAAACTCATATTGCGACTATGTAGTCTTTTGTCAATAAATTCCATTTTGCTTATTTCTACTTTTAAGGGCTCCTTGATTTCATGAATACAGTCGTGCCTTGGTTCTTGAATGGAATCCATTCCAGGAGTCTATTCAACTTCCAAAACATTCAATAACCAATGTGCGGCTTCTGATTGGCTGCAGGAGCATCCTGCACCCAATCAGAAGCTGTGTCTGACGTTTGGCTTCCAAAAAAAATTCGCAAACAGGAACAATTACTTCCAGGTTTGGGGCATTCGGGAGTCAAAATGTCCGAGTCACAAGGCGTTCAAGAACCAAGGTACGACTGTACTAAGAGGATAGTTTTGAGGTTTTCTAGGTGTAGGTGGGGCCCACAGACTTAAGTGATTGCAAGAGTCTCCAATTATAGCTTGCGTTGGTTTTTGGAGTGCAACTTTTTCTGTCAGCCTGACTTGTGCCAAAGTTTATTTATTCCATTTCATAAAATTTATAACCTGCTGGATTGTGGGAGTTCTAGCCTAGCAACATCTGGAGGGCGTCAGGTTCCTCACCTCTGCGCAAATATTAAGAAGTTTGGGGAACCAGATGGAGCCCTGCATAAATGCCAAAGAGTTAATAAGTCCCGTCTCCCCCAGCACTGCCTGGAATCTGCTCTCCATTTAGCATTTACTACACTGCTTAGCTTAGCAAACACCAGCAGAATTTTGGGCCTAAAGGAAGAATTAATTGGCCATTCCTTTTGTAGCACACAATTTCACATTTGCCATAAGGAACTGTGGGTGGTTATCATTTTGGTACTTAACCTAGTTTCTAATTAGCAGGAATCAAAGATTTCATGTGTGAGCTCTGTGGGAAGACGTTTAGCGAGAGGAATACAATGGAGACTCATAAGCTCATTCACACAGGTAATGCTTGGCTGGAACTCTATGCCACTGATTCTAAAATTTCCTTTACAGTGATAAATGCTAAGACTCTAGGTCAGCGTTTCCCAAACTTGGGTCCCCAGCTGTTTTGGAACTACAGTATCTATCATCCCTCACCACTGGTCCTGCTAGCTAGGGATGATGGGACTACAGTCCAGAAACAGCGGAAGCCTCAAGCTTGGGAAACCCTGCTCTAGATTTTGCACTTGCAATGTACCCCCAGTGGCATGTAGAATACATAGCCCTGAATCTAACCTCTCTTTTATAGAAGGCTGAAAAATAAAATAAAAAATTTAAGGTAGTTTGGTTAGTATACTGTAAAAAATGTACCTACAATTATATATTTCCCTGGAAGCACTAGCAGCTGCCTGACATATCCATTAGTCTCATATCCATATTAGTCTGTTGCAGCAAAAACACTGGAGTCTCTTAGCACCTTTCACAAATCTGTTATCTAATTATTGTGCACTAGAGTTGACTTCATCAGGTGCATTGAGCACTATCCTAACTTGGCAGTTATGAATGCACATGTGTGGCAGATGTTTGGTGCTGCGGTCAGAGGGAAGTGCAGTGCAAAAGAACATATTAAGCTGTCCCATTAAACAAATGTGTGCAAAATCATTCCAATGACCATTCACAAAGCAGTGTGGATGATGCAATGCAAAACATTCAGGCATTGGTAATTTGACTTACACCTGTAGTAGAATTTTTAATAACCTGTTATCTTGATTCATGCCTCACCTTATAAGAACTGGACTTTCTGATACTTTGTAATTCAGTGACTTCACACTGGAGCATCTCTGTGAAGCTTCCTTTGAACATACATGTTTCAGCCTATGTTTGGTGCATTTCAGTTCCCTCTGATCTCATTGCTTACTATTCCACCCTGCCCTGCCCCCCCAAAACCCATGTGTACATAGATCTGCTGACTTGGGATAAGCCTTAATACATCTGATGGGGTGGTTTCTAGTTCATGAAAGTTTATGCCATAATAGTCTTGAAGGTGCCACAAGACTTCTTTTTATTTCATCCGTATGACAGCAAGTCTAAAAAAACTCTCATGTCAACTATTTGACATAATTCAGACTTTGAGAGAGAGCTGAGCCATGTTCCCTCATCTGCAGTAAACCACATTGGTTCAGTGCTGTCAGGTTTGCTAAGGTTAGTAATATCAGATCCTGTCAGCCCCTGATCTCAGAAGGCAAATGCAGCCTGATTGTTGTCCCCAGACACCCAAGTGCCATATTTCCATGGAATTCATCGCTCTGCTTTATTCCAGTCCATCCTAATTAGTATGTACCGTATTTTTCCGTGTATAACACGACCCCTATTTTGGGGGACTCCAAATAAAGAAATGCCCCATATGCACTATCCATGCCTAAGACGACCCCCAATTTTAAACTTGAAAAAAATTGGGGGGGGGGGGGGAATTAGACTTATACACAGAAAAATACGGTAAGTGACTCCCAATTATACAATATAAAATACTTCCTCCAGGTTCCATACCATGTAACTCTTTTAAAAATGGAAAACCTGTAGTTGAAATGTTTTAATATTAAGATACCCTACTTGAAAATTAATGGTCAACTTCTTGTTTTACTTGCTACTACTAGTGGGAAAGCAATGGACTTGCTCAGTGTGTGATAAAAAGTATGTCACGGAGTACATGCTTCAGAAGCACATTCAGCTAACTCACGATAAGGTAGAAGCACAGAGTTGTCAGCTCTGTGGGACGAAGGTTTCCACCAGAGCTTCAATGAGTCGTCACATGAGGCGAAAACATCCAGAGGTGAGTTTGATGACAGATTAAGAGTTCGTGATTTTTGCAGACTTCCTGGGGAGACGCATCCTTTACATGCTACCTTGCTCTGAATTTTTAATTTTTGTGCAGCTTTGTTGTGACGGCTGCCAACACTTGCTTTTCACATCTTAGGAATGTGAATTCTTAGTACAGCACATGCCACTTATTATATCCACGGTTGAAGGACCCAAAAGGTAGCTAGCCTTGGTTGAGCTGATAGAGTGACTAGCCAGATTTGAATGGGTGTATAAAATGTAATATAAAATATGCATACATATATGATATAAAACATAATATAAAACAAACCAATCTGCCTGTTACATATAAGCGTAACTGTTCCTTATACGCAATTGCAGGGTAATACTACTATAAATATGTTATTCCTTAATATAAATATTGTTTTCCAGGTGCTTTCAGTTAGAATTGATGACTTGGAGCAGCTCTCAGAAACCACAACTGTTGATGCTTCATCTATAGGAATTGTACAGGTAAAATGCAAGTGTAGCCTAATATTAACTCTCTTGTTACCTTCAGCCTTTATTTGGACATTCAAAGTACCCATGTGCCAACTCCACCCCCCAGTATCCCCACGTGTGCCAGCTTCAGCCCTGACCTTCCTGCATTTACTGGGAAAGGTCTGAAGGGAGATTCCAAGCACATTCAGCTGAATGCACTCAGAAGCCTTCAGGAAAAGGTTCCCCACCTTTGGACTTAAGCCTACTTTATCAGGTGCATAAAATGTTGTCCTCAGTTGCCAGATACACATCAGTACAGAAGGGGAACAAGGGTGCTGGAAGCCTATGAAATGCAAGAGGTACAGCCTGACATTTCTCTGTAAAGCTCAATTCTATGCAAAATGAGCACACTGACCATTCACAACATCAGGAATAGCACAAATCTTCCTGCCTTTGCTGCACTATTAAACACATGTAGCATGAAAGGAAACCATAGTCTCTGTTCAGTCCTCGACAAATCAAATCAAACTTACTGATTTTTTTTTTAATTCAGCAGTTTTGAACAGGAATTTCTCCTGATGTTGAAGTGTTGAATTCAGTGACATTGTGCTTTCATTGAAAACTCCCCTTACAGTCAGACCTAGCCCTGGAACCAGGAGAGTTACCGGAAGGCAAGCATATGAAGGCTCATAAGCGTGGTCATAAACGAAAGCATAAGCCCGATGAAGAGGAAGAAACCCAAGTGCCTGAGGATTCTGCCTTCAGTGAATACACAGAGAAAGAAGTGGAATTCACAGGGAATGTGGGAGATGAGACCAATTCAGCGGTGCAAAGCATTCAGCAGGTGAGTGCCCTTTACCAAGGAATCGGGAGAAGGTGGTAATTACAACAACAAAAAATGGCTTTATATCCTAGGAATATTAAAAGGTATTTTAATGTATGGGTGGATTTTTTCAGTAGGAGAATTTGTAGAAAGCTCACCAGTATAATATGCAGAGGAGAGGAAGGAAGAGGTCCCTGGTGGCTGAAATCCCCTGAAAATTCATTATGCCTCTGTATGCAGAGTCAGTGTCAGTTGCTAAATTCATTTCTATGTGAGCAAATATTAGGTTGCATTCTGGGGACGTCTGCTAAGGCACCATTTAGATCAAACATCTCTCATGGTGCAAACACTGATTACCTCATTGTTGACGTTGGGGAGGAATAGACTTTTCCCCAACCACACTAGACCCTTCAGTGCAACCACTTTCTTTCTTCAGTAGGAATGAATACAACCAGTAGCCTGGGAATTCTAGGCCCCTCTTCTTTGTTTTGTAGTGTTGTGATACGTCCAGGAATCGGACAGCATTTTGGTGTCCGGGGGGGATTTTCGTGAAATCAGAAAAATGTCCGAGAAAACCTGGACGTATGGCAAGGAGGGTAATTTTGTTTTATTAAAAAATCATTTAAAAATCCCCCAAAGGCCCAAAACTTATGGCAACCGTATTGTTTTGCCCTGCAGTCAGCTTAGCCTTGCTCATCTCTTGGCCAACTTAGCTTGATGGTGAGATACAAGCGAAGTATTTTGTTCTGAAAAGTAATTTCAATTTCAAAACATACTAGAGATTGCAATGGGAGGGGGATCAGAAATACCATCACCACATGACTGGAAATACCAGAGTCAAAGAAATCCAGATTTTTCTAATCTGTGAGAATTTTGCCCTCAGTTTGGGGAACTCGGCTGAAAGTATTGCCTGAATCTCCAGTACTGGTGATCACCTTTGATGGAAATTAATTTAATAATAATAATAATAGTAAATAATAATAATATATTATTTATACCCCACCCATCTGGCTGGGTTTCCCCAGCCACTCTGGGCGGCTTCCAACAGGATATTAAAAATTCAATAAAATAATAATAACAATAATAAACGTCAAACATTAAGAACTTCTCTAAACAGGGCTGCCTTCAGATGTCTTCTAAAAGTCAAATAGTTTTTTATTTCCTTGACATCTGATGGGAGGGCGTTCCACAGGGCGGGCGCCACTATGTATGATCTAAATCCATGAAGTTTATCACCGTTTGCTTTCAACTCTGTAATCTAACAACAGATATCATATAAGGGGTGGAAGGAAGACCTTCTGCTACAGCCTTCCCCAACTTTGTGCCCTTCATATGTTTTGGACCACAGCACCCATCAGGCGCGGCCACTGGCCATGCAGGCTGCGCTGATGAGAGCTGCAGTCCAAAGTATCTGGAGGCCACCAGCTTGGGGGGAAAGCTATTCTATTATAGTGGGGTAGGAGAACTGAAAATAATGACAATATATTTCACATCTTGCAACTAATGGCATCAGATACTACATGGGTAGAGGAGTCCAAAAAAACCAGGACAAAATTTTCCACAGCCGTCTAGCTGCTATAGTGGCTCATTTACCAGAAGTAATGTATTTAGCATTAACTCTGGAAGTGTATACTTGATTCTGACCAAACTAAGTGTCCTGGAGCTAGAAAAGGTCTGTTCTCGTGTTGCCAACCTCCAGACCTCCCATGGAGGAGACACACGAAGAAGTCATCAGGTGATGATCACAGAGTCTGGGTTGGTTTATATGATACACTCGCTCCCATCATGCCATCGACAGGCAAAAAAGAGAGGTAGCAAAGTTGACTGTTTCTCACAGCATGCATTTCTAATGCTAACAGTTGCTTTAAAAACGATCACTACAGATAACTCTGAATTTTTCAATTCTCTCTCTTTTTGCAGGTGGTGGTGACTCTCGGAGACCCAAATGTCACAGCCCCTTCTAGCTCTGTTGGCCTGACCAATATTAGTGTTACCCCCATCACTACACCGGCTGGAACCCAGTTTACAAACTTGCAACCTGTGGCTGTGGGCCACCTGGCCACTCCCGAGCGCCAGTTGCAGCTAGACAATTCCATCCTCACCGTGACGTTCGATACAGTCACTGGTTCCGCCATGTTGCACGGCAACCGCCAAAATGATATCCAAATACAGTCGCAGCCTGAGCCGGCAAACCCCCAGTCAGTCGCCCATTTTATAAACCTGACTACTCTGGTGAACTCCATCGCTCCGTTAGGGAGCCAGATATCGGAACAACATCCCTTAACCTGGAGGGCGGTGCCTCAAACAGATGCCCTTCAAACGCAGGCCCAGCCCACGCAGCAGCAGCAGGCGGGGCAGCAACAGGTTCAAACAGAACAGCAGCAGCAGCAGATGTACAGCTACTAACTTATACTTGTAAGGAGACACCAAACTGTGAAGGGGCTTGTAGGAGCCCATGGGACACATACACCGCAGAATCGATTGCTGGAAACCAAACAGAGGTGGAGGAAAGAGCGCATGCAATGAGGGTGTGCTGATATCGGCCCAACAGCTTGAAAGGCAGAGGCCTTGAGAGTCGCTACCGCCAGCCCTACTCAAAATATGGGGTGAAATCAGCTGCTGGGAATAGCGAGAAGTCTGAGGTCTTGGGGTTGTGGTACATTGGCAAGGAGACAGGGAAATAAGAAATAGTAAATACAACAGCAGTATCTTCTAAAAACATACAGCAGGAGCGTTTAAGTCACACTGAGTTAGGTTGCGACTAACTTGACAACGTAATGTAAGGATGTAATTGAGCAAATAAGAAATGTTTTTGTTTTCCTTAGACCATTCCTGTATCTAATGGAACGTTTGGGAAAAATAAGTGGGTGGGGATAGTCCATGATGTGAAATGTGCCTCATTTCATGAATCATTTCCATGTTGGTGATGGAGAACTCACTTTACCAATAAGACAGCTTGGGTTGTCACCTGGGAAAAAAAATAGCCAGTCTGATGTTAGAGCAACATTTATGGTCTTCTGTTTAGTAAAATTAAAACTTGAATCAAGCTTGTTATGGACTAAACACTTAATGTGATAATAGAATCGTTTACAGAACTGCTTGTTGATTAAATATTACATTTAGCTAATAGATCTGAAAGAGCAGTTCTTCCCATTGAAACTGACTTTGCCAATTAGTCTTCTATCATGTCCTTGTTCGATATTACCCTTTGCACTTCGCACTGTATTCTTGGGGGATATTTACAAATTAAGGGGCACTTTTTAAAGTGATCTCATGTATCTTTTCATTATTTTCTTCGTAATAACTGATACATGATTTTGCTTGGGGGAAATCTGAAATGCACAGCAACAAATTGCCTGGTTGCAAGTCATAATATAATACCGTTTGTAGGTTATGTTGACCACAAGGAGACAGCCTAGACTAAAATTAATGAAAATCACTTGCTTTGATAAAGTTAGGTAGTTATAGAGCTGTTGTATCATCTGTTCAGGCAGAAGAGGGCGTGCTTTGTTTTGCATCCGTATACAATGTATCTGCCATATCATGTGTTTAAATACAAATTCAATCTTCATCTTTTATGGAATGACTTAAAGAGCGTACCATCAGAAAATAAAGGAGGAGGAGCCCAGCAGTACACAAAAGAATGAATAAGCAGTTCCTTTGCCTTTGTGAACAACTGTTCTAGCTAAACGATAAAGGAAAAATAAGATTTGACAATTGACTGATGATTTCCTCACAGTTCCATTTGCTCTCAACTGTGTGCCGTTATTTACAGAAACTTTTCTAACCTTCCAGTACACATCATAGGAACAAGTTGCATTTTAAGGTTGTGTACATATAGGACCTGTGAAAAAGATATTGCAGTTTGGAGAGCCCTTGGGTGCCAGCCAGTGATATTCTTTCCCAGGAGACTTCACTGCATACCCTTAAGTTTTCCATCCCACTGCCTGCCGACAGCATTCTGTGCCCTCTGCGCATGCTCAGTCCTCACCAGGCTGTTTTTCAGACCCACTTTTTATGTTGTACTTTTGGAAATCTTGGGGTTCCCCAAAGCCTGCTGATGCATGGATGGTGCCGCTTTGGTCCTGGGTTCAATCTCCAGCAGATGAGGCTGGGAATTTCCCCTGTCTGAGACCCTGGAGAGATCCCATTCAGTTTAGACATTATCGAGCTAGGAGGATCAATGGTGTGACTCAGTTAAAGGCAACTGCCTGTCTTCCTGTGCTTTAGTTTGTAGCAGTACTGGGGAACCTGTGGCCTTCCAGATGTTGTTGTACTACAACACCCATCTGCCCTGACAACTGCCCTGGCTGGCTGGGGGCTGGTAGGAGTTAAACTGCAGCAGCATCTGGAGGGGCACTGCTGGTCTACAGGATTTCTAGTCAATATTGCAGTTCAGATGGTTGGCCAACCCCCTACCTTCCATCTTCATTTCCTCCATTCTTGGCTAGTGTGCAAAGTTGAAAGCTTCATAGACACAGCATGATACACAACAGTCTCGTTTTGCTTGGGCATTTGCCACTCTGCCTTCAGAAATTTGGGAGGTTGGGTGTTGCTCATCACAGGCCTCCAGATTTGTTTCATCTGTTGTGATCCTGGCTGACCCCTTATCACCACTGTCTCTCAGGAATATAGGCACAGCATGCCTTCCAGGTGATTGTGCCTTTTCTGTCTTCCCTTGCCTGTTGGCCTGCTGACCATCTCATATTCTTGCTATCTGATTAGGTCATATGCTGCATAGTGTACATTAAATCAGAAGGCTATTGCTTCAAATAGCAACCTACAAATCAACAATCACATGACACAATTGCAACACTTAGTATTTATTTAGCACATAGTACCATTAATAAGTAATGGTTAGAACAATCCTATATGCTAAACTGGCATCATTTATCGTATACAGATGTGTCTAAGGCCATTTTGGAAATTCATGCCTGATTAGGGATTTGAATTGGGTAACATAGATTCTTAACTACCATCTGTACTTGGAACCAAAGCATCATGCAAGCTGTGGTGTAGTGGTTAGAATGTTGGGCTAGGACCTGGGAGACTAGGCTTCAAATCCCTGCTCAGCCATGAAGCTCACTGGGTGACCTTGGGGCAGTCACTTGCCTCTCAGCCTTACCTACTTCACAGGGTTCTCATGAGGATATAATGGGGAGGGGAAGAATGATGTATGCCGTCATGAGCTCCTTGGAAGAAATTTGGGATGTGAATGTAATAAAGAAATAATAAACAAATTCTTAGGAATGGGAAACTAAGGAAAGCAGTGTCTTCTCTCTGTATTAGTACAGACAACATTGCTTATAGCCACTTGATAATGATTTACTCCTAATCACCTGGTGGTATGAACCAGATAATGTGCTTATTCAAATAGTTGCGTGCACACTGTGGAAAGTTACAAACTGGTATATGATCAAGTATTTTAAGAGCTCCAAAGCCACAGGTAATATCTTGATTAGGACAAAATGCCAAGCAAATTATGGTGATTTAGTTAGCTTAGCCCTAGTAAAGGTATTACCTTACTATGACTTTGAGATTCCACCCCCCCCCCAGTGGACCAGAACAGTTGCCTCCAGTAAGTACTCCCAGTTAGCTAAATACTGCGGACCCCTTGTTTTTTCGAAAGCCACGCCATGGACCTCCTACTTTTGAAAATTTTCGTATCTCTATGGTAGTTTTTGTTTGTTATGTGAATAGTGCCCTGACCCACCTCTGTGGACCACCAGTTGAGAACCACTTTTTAAAAGAGTCATCAGAGAGATATAGGGGTCAGCAAACTTTTTCAGCAGGGGCCGGTCCACTGTCCCACAGACCTTGTGGGGGTCCAGACTATATTTTGAAGGGGGGAAAGTGAACGAATTCCTATGCCCCACAAATAACCCAGAGATGCATGTTAAATAAAAGGACACATTCTACTCATGTAAAAACACTTTGATTTCCAGACTGTCCGCAGGCCGGATTTAGAAGGCGATTGGGCTGGATCTGGACCCCGGGCCTTAGTTTGCCTACCCATGAGAGAGAAACTCCTGGGCTGGTATCCAATGAAATAGTTCCAGTAACACAATGGCTGCACAACAGGACTCCAACCCCCAACCCCCAACCCTGTGCCCTCCCCAAATCTGCTTTGGAGGGTTGAAGGAGCCCACAGAACAGATTTAAGTGGTGCACAAGGAGTAGGAAAGGAGGTTCTGTTGCACAGCCAGATGTCTTTATGGCAATAGAACTACTTCATTGGATACTGCCTCTCAGGTGCAAGAAACTACTCAAGATGTTTCCCCTGACAGATGCCTTTCCCAGCGCACATGTACAATCCTGACATAGAGGTTTGTTTTGTTTTAGGAAATGGTTATCAGCAGATAGAAGTCTGTATGAACAAGGAACAATGAGTTAGATATATGCATAACATGACTAATAAAATACTATCTGTTCCAGCTTCTGCAAAAAAACATATAGAAGATAGTACCAAGAGGGGCTAAAGTTTCGCTGCCAAACAATGATATCTACGTATTGTGTTCTGTAGTTAGTCGTCTCGATAAGCACAGGTTCAAGATGGGTCATCAGAGAGGTGCAGGTCCTTCCATGACCTCTGGCAACAGACCTCATGATTGCATCAGGAGGTAATGCAGTCACAAATCACTTCACTTTCCACTGTACTCCTTAAGCTTTCTCGTTCCCCCTCAAGGCCTTTTTCTGAGGCACCCTAATGCATACTGTGAACTGAACTAACATTCTTTCCTCTCTTTTGATCTACTTGCTCCTAGGGAGCCCACAAGTCAACATGTCCTTAACGTTACTTCACAAAAGGAACCTTGTAAACTTTTAATTATTGAGTCTCATTATTCCAAACTTTGACTATCATTGGGATAGTGGCCCACACAATTAGATATTCATACAGCTAAATGTCAGCTTTCATTTGCATTTTAAATTTATTTTTTATTTTAAAATATGCAGCGCTACGACTTATTATCTGCCAAGTCTGCATATACTTTCATTTCAAGCTCTTCCTCTTTGAATTAGATATGGGGTCACCAAAAACTTATAAGTGCTTAGGACCTCTAAAGGTCTTAATTCGGCCCTGATTCCTGCTGTTGCACTTTCAACAGTTTCAAGTTGGAAGATAAACCTATGTCTGGGCTGTACATTGTGTAGAGTGAGCAGCTGCTGCAACTTTTAATATTGGTAAAGAAGACAGTGTTCCGCTTCTGTGTAGCTATTAAAATATATAGGAGTTCTATCCTCTTTTTCATCTAGCTACGCTAGTTGAGCTCCCTCCCAGCTTCAAGCTTTTAGAATTTCCACTGGTATTGCCCACACACAACCAAGCATATCTGAACTAAATGTGATGTCATCGTTTTCTTCCATTTTAACAAAATGTCCATACCACTCGATTTTAAGAAAACCTC